AGGTTATAGGCTTGGAAAAATCATCTACTTTTTGAAAATTTTTTTCGTCTGAAAACAGGTTGATTCGTATCTTTATGATCAGAAAGAGGTGAAATTGAGTTTGGTTTTGGAATGATACTCGTTTTTTTGATAATTTGGCAGCTTTTTAGAGGGGTGAATTCTTTACAAAAAGGCAAGGTTATAGGCTTGGAAAAATCGTCAATTTTTTGAAACTTTTTTTCTTCTGAAAACAGGTTGATTCGTCTCTTTCTGATCAGAAAGAGGTGTAATTGAGTTTGGTTTTGGAATGATACTCGTTTTTTCGATAATTTTGCAGCTTTTTAGAGGGGTCAATTCTTTAAAAAAAGGCAAGGATATAGGCTTTGAAAAATCGTCTTTTTTTTGAAAATTTTTTTCTTCTGAAAACAGGTTGATTCGTATCTTTCTGATCAGAAAGAGGTGTAATTGAGTTTCGTTTTGGAATGATAGTCGTTTTTTGATAATTTGGCAGCTTTTTAGAGGGGTCAATTTTTTACAAAAAGGCAAGGTTATAGGCCTGGAAAAATCGTCTATTTTTTGAAAAAATTTTTCTTCTGAAAACAAGTTGATTCGTATCTTTATGATCAGAGAGAGGTGTAATTGAGTTTGGTTTTGGAATGATAGTCGTTTTTTTGAAAATTTGGCAGCTTTTTATAGGGGTCAATTTTTTACAAAAAGGCAAGGTTACAGGCTTGGAAAAATCATCTATTTTTTGAAAAATGTTTTCGTCTGAAAACAGGTTGATTCGTCTCTTTCTGATCAGAAAGAGGTGTAATTGAGTTTGGTTTTTTTTAATGATACTCGTTTTTTCGATAATTTTGCAGCTTTTTAGAGGGGTCAATTCTTTAAAAAAAGGCAAGGATATAGGCTTTGAAAAATCGTCTTTTTTTTGAAAATTTTTCCTCTGAAAACAGGTTGATTCGTATCTTTATGATCAGAAAGAGGTGAAATTGAGTTTGGTTTTGGAATGATACTCGTTTTTTTGATAATTTGGCAGCTTTTTAGAGGGGTCAATTTTTTACAAAAAGGCAAGGTTATAGGCTTGGAGAAATCGTCAATTTTTTGAAACTTTTTTTCTTCTGAAAACAGGTTGATTCGTATCTTTCTGATCAGAAAGAGGGGTAATTGAGTTTGGTTTTGGAATGATACTCGTTTTTTCGATAATTTTGCAGCTTTTTAGAGGGGTCAATTCTTTACAAAAAGGTAAGGTTATAGGCTTTGAAAAATCGTCTTTTTTTTGAAAAATTTTTTCTTCTGAAAGCAGGTTGATTCGTATCTTTCTGATCAGAAAGAGGTGTAATTGAGTTTGGTTTTGGAATGATAGTCGTTTTTTTGTTAATTTGGCAGCTTTTTAGAGGGGTCAATTTTTTACAAAAAGGCAAGGTTATAGGCTTGGAGAAATCATCTATTATTTGAAAAAATTTTTCGTCTGAAAACAGGTTGATTCGTATCTTTATGATCAGAAAGAGGGGTAATTGAGTTTGGTTTTAGAATGATAGTCGTTTTTTGATAATTTGGCAGCTTTTTAGAGGGGTCAATATTTTACAAAAAGGCAAGGTTATAGGCTTGGAAAAATCGTCAATTTTTTATTAAATTTTTTTCTTCTGAAAACAGGTTGATTCGTATCTTTCTGATCAGAAAGAGGTGTAATTGAGTTTGGTTTTGGAATGATACTCGTTTTTTCGATAATTTTGCAGCTTTTTAGAGGGGTCAATTCTTTACAAAAAGGCAAGGTTATAGGCTTGGAAAAATCGTCTATATTTTGAAAATTGTTTTCGTCTGAAAACAGATTGATTTGTGTCATTATGATCAGAAAGAGGTGTAATTGTATATGGTTTTCGAATGATAGTCATTTTTTTGATAATTTGGCAGCTTTTAAGAGGGGTCAATTTTTTACAAAAAGGCAAGGTTATAGGCTTTGAAAAATCGTCTATTTCTTGAAAAATTTTTTTCTGAAAACAGGTTGATTCGTATCTTTATGATCAGGAAAAAGGTGTAATTGAGTTTGGTTTTAGAATGATAGTCGTTTTTTGATTATTTGGCAGCTTTTTAGAGGGGTCAATTTTTTACAAAAAGGCAAGGTTATAGGCTTGGAAAAATCGTCTATTTTTTGAAAATTTTTTTCTTCTGAAAACAGGTTGATTCGTATCTTTCTGATCAGAAAGAGGTGTAATTGAGTTTGGTTTTGGAATGATACTCGTTTTTTCGATAATTTTGCAGCTTTTTAGAGGGGCAATTCTTTAAAAAAAGGCAAGGATATAGGCTTTGAAAAATCGTCTTTTTTTAGAAAATTTTTTTCTTCTGAAAACAGGTTGATTCGTATCTTTCTGATCAGAAAGAGGTGTAATTGAGTTTGGTTTTGGAATGATAGTCGTTTTTTTTTATACTTTCACAGCTTTTTAGAGGGGTCAATTTTTCACAAAAAGGCAAGGTTATAGGCTTTGAAAAATCGTCTATTTCTTGAAAAAAATTTTTTTCTGAAAACAGGTAGATTCGTGTCTTTATGATCAGAAAGAGGTGTAATTGAGTTTGGTTTTGGAATGATAGTCGTTTCTTTGATAATTTGGCAGCTTTTTAGAGGGGTCAATTTTTTACAAAAAGGCAAGGTTATAGGCTTGGAAAAATCGTCAATTTTTTGAAACTTTTTTTCTTCTGAAAACAGGTTGATTCGTATCTTTCTGATCAGAAAGAGGTGTAATTGAGTTTGGTTTTGGAATGATACTCGTTTTTTTGATAATTTGGCAGCTTTTTAGAGGGGTCAATTTTTTACAAAAAGGCAATGTTATAGGCTTGGAGAAATCGTCAATTTTTTGAAACTTTTTTCTTCTGAAAACAGGTTGATTCGTATCTTTCTGATCAGAAAGAGGTGTAATTGAGTTTGGTTTTGGAATGATACTCGTTTTTTGATAATTTGGCAGCTTTTTAGAGGGGTCAATATTTTACAAAAAGGCAAGGTTATAGGCTTGGAAAAATCGTCAATTTTTTTTTAAATTTTTTTCTTCTGAAAACAGGTTGATTCGTATGTTTCTGATCAGAAAGAGGTGTAATTGAGTTTGGTTTTGGAATGATACTCGTTTTTTCGATAATTTGGCAGCTTTTTAGAGGGGTCAATTCTTTACAAAAAGGCAAGGTTATAGGCTTGGAAAAATCGTCTATTTTTTGAAAAATTTTTTCTTCTGAAAACTGGTTGATTCGTGTCTTTATGATCAGAAAGAGGTGTATTTGAGTTTGGTTTTGGAATGATAGTCGCTTTTTTGATAATTTGGCAGCTTTTTAGAGGGGTAAATTTTTTACAAAAAGGCAAGGTTATAGGCTTGGAAAAATCGTCTATTTTTTGAAAATTTTTTTCTTCTGAAAACAGGTTGATTCGTATCTTTATGATCAGAAAGAGGTGTAATTGAGTTTGGTTTTGGAATGATAGTCGTTTTTTTGATAATTTGGCAGCTTTTTAGAGGGGGCAATTTTTTACAAAAAGGCAAGGTTATAGGCTTGGAAAAATCATCCATTTTTTGAAAATTTTTTTCTTCTGAAAACAGGTTGATTCGTATCTTTCTGATCAGAAAGAGGTGTAATTGAGTTTGGTTTTGGAATGATACTCGTTTTTTTGATAATTTGGCAGCTTTTTAGAGGGGTCAATTTTTTACAAAAAGGCAAGGTTATAGGCTTGGAAAAATCATCTAGTATTTGAAAAATTTTTTCGTCTGAAGATAGGTTGATTCGTAACTTTATGATCAGAAAGAGGGGTAATTGAGTTTGGTTTTGGAATGATAGTCGTTTTTTTGATAATTTGGCAGCTTTTTAGAGGGGTCAATTTTTTACAAAAAGGCAAGGTTACAGGCTTGGAAAAATCATCTATTTTTTGAAAAATTTTTTCGTCTGAAAACAGGTTGATTCGTATCTTTATGATCAGAAAGAGGTGTAATTGAGTTTGGTTTTGGAATGATAGTCGTTTTTTTGATAATTTGGCAGCTTTTTAGAGGGGTAAATTCTTTACAAAAAGGCAAGGTTATAGGCTTGGAAAAATCGTCAATTTTTTGAAACTTTTTTCTTCTGAAAACAGGTTGATTCGTATCTTTCTGATCAGAAAGAAGTATAATTGAGTTTGGTTTTGGAAGGATACTCGTTTTTTCGATAATATTGCAGCTTTTTGGAGGGGTCAATTCTTTAAAAAAAGGTAAGGTTATAGGCTTTGAAAAATCGTCTTTTTTTTGAAAAATTTTTTCTTCTGAAAACAGGTTGATTCGTATCTTTCTTATCAGAAAGAGGTGTAATTGAGTTTGGTTTTGGAATGATAGTCGTTTTTTTGTTAATTTGGCATTTTTTTAGAGGGGTCAATTTTTCACAAAAAGGCAAGGTTATAGGCTTGGAAAAATCATCTATTATTTGAAAAAATTTTTCGTCTGAAAACAGGTTGATTCGTATCTTTATGATCAGAAAGAGGGGTAATTGAGTTTGGTTTTAGAATGATAGTCGTTTTTTGATAATTTGGCAGCTTTTTAGAGGGGTCAATATTTTACAAAAAGGCAAGTTATAGGCTTGGAAAAATCGTCAATTTTTTTAAATTTTTTTCTTCTGAAAACAGGTTGATTCGTATCTTTCTGATCAGAAAGAGGTGTAATTGAGTTTGGTTTTGGAATGATACTCGTTTTTTCGATAATTTTGCAGCTTTTTAGAAGGGTCAATTCTTTACAAAAAGGCAAGGTTATAGGCTTGGAAAAATCGTCTATTTTTTGAAATAAATTTTCTTCTGAAAACAGGTTGATTCGTATCTTTATGATCAGAAAGAGGTGTAATTGAGATTGGTTTTGGAATGATAGTCGTTTTTTGATAATTTGGCGGCTTTTTAGAGGGGTCAATTTTTTACAAAAAGGCAAGGTTATAGGCTTGGAAAAATCGTCTTTTTTTGAAAATATTTTTCTTCTGAGAACACGTTGATTCGTATCTTTATGATTACAAAGAGGTTTAATTGAGGTTTGATTTTGGAATGATAGTAGTTTTTGATAGTTTGGCAACTTTTTAAAGGGGTCGAGTTTTGATAATTAAGTAAGGTTATAGGCTTTGAAAAATTTTCGATTGTTTCCACACATTCTCGCCTGATATACTCCTACTGTTAAGTTTTTAGCAAAACATTTCAACCAAAATCTAGATATTAAATCTAGGCCTTCGCGACTTCATGGATATGACTTTGATAAGGTTGACTAGATGTAAAATTTTCAAATACAATTCCACTAACAAAATTTTCCCGAGTTCAAAATTATTCCGAGTTCAACATTTTTCGTTATTTATAAACAAATATATATTGGTAATGGCTCTATCTGTAGTTTCAATTCTAAAATTATTTCGTTTTAAAAAATGTCTTAGAAGGTCATACTTGCAATGAAATTCTTTTCAAATTCGAACAATTTTCGCTTGAAAAGCTCAAACAATATTTACAAAAAGTTATAGACTTGTCTTGTAATTTGATTGGGAATCTGAACCTTTCGCTTTCAAAGGAATCGTCAAGAGTACTTTGCAATAAAGATTTACGTTATACAGAACAATATTGGAGAAGAATGTTGAAAGCAAGATTCACGGCTAATGAGCTCTATACCATGGACATATCGTTTTTCATAGAGCAAAACTACTGAACATACATCTAGATACATTTTCTTATAGATTTAGTTTTAATTTTGGTACACGAGTAAACCACAAGAGAAACATCAATCAATTTTCATCTTGGACTCTTAATTTCTTAAATGTTCCTGCTCTTGCTTTTAAAAAAATTATCTTTCAAAAACAAAACTTCTGCTTGTCTGAAATTTTTCCATGTAATTCATTGAGAGCCTTTTGCTTGGATATTCTACCATTGTAGAAACATGTGGGTTTTAGAGTCAAAATTTTTTCATACTGCAAAGTAAAATTTTTTTTCTATCCTTTTTTGAACCCTATGAACCATACCTTTTTGAGATTATATAAGAAATGATCCAGCTTGGAAATAAGTTTCCTAAGAGCTTTATTTTTGCAAAAAGATTGTACCGAAAATTCCAATGCAAGGTTTCGATGAAATCATGCGAGTGTGGAATTTTCATAAATGCTAAATTTTCAAAAACCGCAATGTAGAAGACTTCTTACGAACTGACAAAATTAAGTAGTTGCACAAAAGATGTCATTAAAAGATGTGAAAGAAAAGAAAGACTCCCAAGACTTTTTGATAATTTGATCATATTCACACTATCTTCCTCTAAACATGTTTGTCGAAGTTTAAATCTACTGAAAATTCACCTATTCGTATCCAGCGTAGGCTGATGATCGATGGTTTTAGGGCATTGTTAATAAGTCATTTTAGCAATGCAGCAATAAAGATCTGTTGGTGATATGATGAACTACAACGGTATCCAGTGCACAGAAAGAGAGGAGTAAGTCGATACTAGAACTTTTAATTTTTGACAGTCAATATCAACTAAGATACTAATATTACTAAGGAATACCTACTTCATAACTATGACACCCTCTTCTTTATCTTCGGTCAAAGGATTTAGTCCGTGTTTTAAGTGAAATTTTCTTCTTAAGTAGGCATAAACAACATCACTCAGAAGAAGGATCTAATAGAACAATATATTAAAGAATTTGTCAGTACACACGATATCAAAGCAGTTGCTTAATTAATCTCTTCCTATTCTTGAAGGAGAATTTATTTGTCATTTGTGGTCATTCTTAAACTATGGTAAGGGGAAAAAATTGGAGTTGACTGTTCATACGTCATACGTCATACGTCATGAGTTCATACGTCAGGGGTTCATACATAACCTGTTCCATATTAGGAGTCCACTCATATGGAACAGTTCATACTGTCATTTAATTGTCCTTTGGTAATGTTTTAATCTTTTATAAAATGAAATCCAAAAAAAAGATTTCCCGCGAAGATTCCCCAAGAAATTTCCTGCGCAATTATTAAAAAGCTAAAAATTGGTTGGGACGTTGAGTAACTAGGAAGAATGTGATGTTCTGAATATCGTTTTCTTAAATACATTTGCACCAATAGAAAGAAGAATAGGCCAATTTGGCCTTGGAAGTATCGACTCTAACAAGAAAGGGCAAAAAAATCCTTTCACTTACAAAGATTTTCCCAAATATTTGTTTTTTTCACTGATAATTTTCCTATCGATATCTAAGAATTTCTTAAAAATTGAATTTCTTTCCATAAATATAGCTGAAATCAAAACTTAATAGTTTCTCCACCCCTAGCTTTTTATATATGTTTACCCGAAAGTCCAAATTTTCTAACTAATGTGCCTCACCATCGTCCAAAGAAACAATAGTAATAGTTAATGTCAGCGTTTCTTTGGACGAACAGAATTCTATTGAAAAGTTAAATAACCCATGGTCAATACTTTTTCACCCCCCTTTCAAACACGCTATTGGGTAATGTCACTTGGGGTGGGACAGGAGATCGACTACCTGAACAACCTACTTTACAATACAAGGACACTCACACTGCTTGAGTTGTACATGAAATAATTGTTCAGAGATTAAATTGACTGATGCAGGAATTGACAGATTAACTTACCTGAGCTAGGTTGAAAGCCAAAGTTGCTGCATAGAAAAAATTGGCGTTTCCGCTGCCGGCATACACCCACAGATGGTAGAGAACAGGTGCCAAGATCGCAGAAAATAGCAGCATCACAATCGCAACAAACAGAGAACGAAAGTCTGAAATACAGATAAAAAAAGACCAACTTTCACCTTAAAGTATAGATCAAACAAAGAACACATATTTGCACCGATATAAATAAAACAAGACAGGACAAGGCATGGCAGGCAAGGTAGGGCATCGTTACCGATGAGGACAAGAAGTGTGATAATTAGTGCTCCTGAAGGGCACAATTGAGCCTAATCATGGTTTTTCATGTTCTAAATTGTGACTGTCTGAGGGCACCGTTTCTCTAATCAAGAGACATTTAATGAATAAATGCTTAGTAGAGTATCAGCCGGATAACGAATGTACTGAAAGATGAAGGTCAATAACATTATCTTAATTAGATTACCAGTAAAATAATGGAAATGGGCAGTGAAGAAAGAGAAATTGCAAGAGAAGGGCGGGGAAAACTTCTACTTAGTGAAATGCATTTGACATTTTAACATAGTCAATACAGCAAACAAACGATGTAGTTTATTAGATGAAAATGTGCTGTTTTTTGCTTACATGGGGTTATATTTCTCCATAACGGTAGAATAGCCAATGGAATAATCACGTCACCAACAGATGAATACGATTTACACCAACTGCATGTTGCAATTAGACAATAGCACAAAAATATTGGTTGATTTCTAAGAAAAATAAAACCCAAATATTAATTGAAGTATTAAGGTAATAAATATTTGGCATTCGTCTATGGTATATCCTTTTTTGTACTGAACTGAAATTTTGCCATGCATTAGCATCTTTTGAATAGTTTTATACACTTATTGCTTGGAATATTTCAAACCCTGGCACAATTGCTACGATAAACGGATAAAAGTACTCGGATTTTAACCTCTGCAAACAAGAGCCTCGGAAAAGACCAGTCCTTTCTAGGCGTAATAGACCTACAATGTCGGAAAAAATTGCTGAGACAAAATGCAATTTCGGAAATGTTCAAACTTAGGTTGCTCTGGAAAAATCGAATCTCCCCACCCCCTGAATCAATGTTGGATCAGAAGTCTATCATATGCATTCAGCTTAAAAACATGCAATCAACATTGAATCGGGGCAGGGGGAGGGAGGCTATTTTTGAAAGCAATGAGAAAACAACATAATTTCCTTAAAAATCTCAAAATATTTTTGCCCGTGATCGTAGAATATGATTGATAGTCAGTCTTTTAAACCAAACATATTTTTCTACGAAGGTATTTTGTGGGGCTGGATATTCTAAGCATGTGCCACTAAATGGCTATTAGGAGAAAATCAATAATAAAATATGCAAAAGAGTATGTCATAAGGAGCGTACCTGAATAAAACTACGAAAGGAATGAGATACACGAATGTGTGAAGCTGCAGAACCCATAAAAAGAATAGCCTGAAATGCTCGAACATTTCAAGAAAAAAGTACCAGAAAAGGCCCATGTTCGGAGTCAGGTCAGGAACTTTGAGTCTGAAAGAAATAACGAATAAAACAATAAAAACGCAAGTCACTTTAACACAGACTGTGTCGTTAATCATTGATAATGATGTTGTATGCCTAATTCTACAGCTGTATCTTCTTTGTCCAGGCACCGCGGAGCATTGAGAAAAAAAGGTGGGGGGGGGGGTTAAAAAAGTGAGGGGGAAAAATCGAATAAAAACTGGTTTGACTGGTGATTCATTGGTAAAATGTTTTGGTTTTTTGGCCCTCCAAACTCCCCTTCTCCGCGGTGCCTGTTATCAGCGAATTGGTTTCACCTACATAAAGAAAATATATTCAGGCAAATTTGGAGCAGCTTTAAATATTTTGTGCGAATAAAGGAGAGGCCACGACAGCAGGCTGCTCGACGGACTCCGGAGGAAATCTTGCGGCGAAAAATCGATTAAAATAATAACATATAAGAGACACCGCAACGCGCGCGACGAGAATAAACAACAACAAACTTTAGTGATTTGTGTGTTTGTTGTTGTTTATTCTCGTCAAGCGCGTTGCGGTGTTCTTGAAATATTTTGCTCTTTGTTTTGCGTAGCACCTTTCGCAGTTACTTCTTCTTGTGCGGATTTCAGCTACACTTCTGGACATGCTGTATAGATTAATTCACGTTATTTGCCTTCTGTTTTGCAACAGTAAAACGTCATATTGTTACTTTCTCTGAGACTGATTTTGAAATGATAAAATGGCGTCTCTTGCCACAGACTATTTGTCAGAAAAAGAGTTCAATGTAGTGAAAGTATCCGAGGCTTCATGTCCATAGTGCGTTCATGGTTTACAAGTTTACATTCTTATATAAGCTCAAAATATCTGCTAAGAAAAAAGATACAGTGTACAAAAATCATTTGCGTTGTTAGATATCTCATAACAACAACACTCTCCAAAATATGTTGGATATTTCATAAAAAAACTATTGAAAAAGAGCCTGACTCACATAAAAAAGTAAACAGCGTTGATAAAATCCCAGCTCTCGAAAACTTTGAACGAGCAAAGAAGGAGAACACACGACATCATTAGGAAAACAGAGACAATGCTTGTTACTTTTCTCCAAGATATCTTGCTGCCATCCTCGGTATGAGACAAGGCGATTGGTATTAGAAGCATGATTGGATAAAATGACAAATAGCACGCCAAGGCAAGCACTACTGTAGCACATTTTTCATAACCTGGAAAAAACGACAGGTATACCACTTTAAATATGATTATCTCAATAAGAATAGCTGTGTTAATTCAGGCCTACAGTACATGAATTGCTGACTGTATGTAGTGAGCTGTTCGCTTTAGAGAGATTTGTTGAAAAAATTTCAATGAATGGAATAAGAATAGAAAAAAGGCCAGATTCGACATTTCTGTATAAAGTTTTCGACCTTAAAAAATCAAGAAAGATTAACTCACCTTTCACCAAAAAGAAAAGAACTATGCAAGTCAAAAAGTTGTTTATCAAAACTGTTGAAGAAGCTCCATAGGTCACTAGTGAAAATGGATTAAAAAGATACCTAAAATGAAAGTGAGAGCATTTTACCTTTATTGTATATATTCAAAAGCTTAAACCATTCAAAAGAACAAAGGAACAAAGGCAAGGTTTTGCCAAGATTCAGGGAAATCATGGTTTTAGTTTTGTTAAGAGTCAAACTAAATAGAAATTCCCAGGAAAGGGTGTGTCCGAATGAGTGTGGCTTATCAAGTGAGTAAAAGGTCAATTTATCTTATTAAGACCTCAAGTTGTCTGTAGAATTGGTAAAAAATGTTCTATGGAAAAATAGAATTGAAATCCGTTCCCCAAACCCTTATAAATCAAAACAATAAAAGAGTGGTTCACTTGACAGAAGATATCGATCTTAAGACTATAAAGGATATGAATATGAATAAAATTGATTTTTATAATAAAAGAAAAACTTACAATAACCCAACAAAATAGGGAATATGATGAAGGTCCTCCTTTACCCATAGCAGAGTCTCGACGTCAGGCCTGTGCTTTATAAGTGTTTGGTATCTAATCTGATATGGTTAGAAAATACAAACTATTAAAAAAGGCCACAGATTTTTAATGGTTGCAGCAAAATAGTGAATGAGGAAGAGTGCAACACAAAACTTAAAGGGAATTTCAAGCATCAGTCCTGGCAACGCGAATAAAGCAATTATAGCTCCTGCTCCCCTCCAGGCTCCCCTCAAATGCTCAAGAGGGGTTGCAGATTATTCTCCTTAACTCTTCCAAAGAAGAAAATTGTCCTTCTTAAAAAAACATTTTCCTTTATTCCAGACTTTTATTGAATAGCTCACTTTAAAATTAGTAGGAGAGCTGTAAACCACACCCATACTAAAAGTCTTGTAGCCAGGCCTGTTTCAAGGAAATGCATCTTTTGGATGGACAGTACATCTCACCTGCTTTTCAACAAAATGTTTAGCTCCTTTCATAAGAAGATAACCACCAACAATGTCACAAAGCTGAAATAGCGTAAAGACAGGCATGAATTTCAATCTTAAAATATAAATTCAAATCTTTGGTTCAAACACAAAAGCTGAGGCTTCTTCTATGCATAAAAAGTTGGAAATCTACAAAAAGATTTGCTTTTAAATAAAGTACATCAATAGTAAATTGGCAAAGGAAGAATATGATAAGATTCTCAAAGGAAGTGACATCTAAAAGAAAAACATATGTAATGTACTAAAGATCAATCATAATTGAAATGATAAATAATAATGACCCATGCTAACAAAGATAATTTTGGGTAAAATAAGCTGATTCAAATATCACAGGCCAAATCTTCTTTGTTGAAATAACATTTTCCTATTGTTAAAGGTCAATCAATCAAACATAAAATCACCAAGAAGGTTAAATATCTTTTAGAAAAAACTATTGTTCTTACTATGAAAAGGTAAGGAACACAGAATGAAAGATTGTCTTCCAGAAACATGAACAAAGAAATCAGCAATGGTGGCTGAAAAAGGAAGAAAAAATTACACATGAAATCTATGTTAGAAAGTACTAATGAGAACTGAAGAAAGGGAAAATGAATCTACGGAGGTGAGAATTCGGATATTTTTCTTTGGTATCCTATCAAGTCCATCTGATGGCCACAAATATGAATAATGCCTTAGCATCAGTGTAAATTTCCAATCAACTTTCTTCCATGTTCTTTGCAATTTACATGCAGATATTCTGCACCAAAACACAGAAGAACATGTTGAGGTTGAAAAATTAATCCTGCCTCCCTGATAATCTCACCTTGAACTAGGAGGTTCAATCAATGGACCTCCAATGGACAACCACAGAGGGAACATAAGAAAAAAATGCAGTATTCCACTTCCACTAGAAAACAGATAGAAATTTAACTTTAGCTGCTAAAACAATACATTTATTTTTTTACCCACATGGTGACATGTTTCTCCACTGTAAGGTGATATTCCAGCCTCAGCCAAGGCAATGCATTCTTTTACTGTTGATTAAATCAAATGGCATATTAACAAAATTAAATTACTCCATCTTTTGCAAAAACAAAGTTCTCAGAGCTTTCCTTGGTAAATTGTAACAATGATAAAAAAATTGTATAATGTGCAATTAATAAATAAAAAGTAGTCCAGTATTCTAAAACATGATTGGCTGTAGGCTTAATATCTAGCTCTAGAAACACCCAGAACCAATTTGATATATTCAAAAAACTGGGATTTGTGGAGGAAAACTTTTGTAGGGTGTTGCTCTTGAGATTGACACATCTAAACTACAAGTTGATCAGAAAGACAGAGCAGATATGACAGTGATGCTATTATATATATTCTATTTAGTAAGACAAGGTTCACAGTAATTTGCAGAGACATTTTCTTAAACATAGAGTATCTTCACCAGACTGGGATTGAGGAACTTCTGTTTGTTATACAGGAAAAAATCAATGGTGCAATATATCAAAATCGTTTGGAAGAAAACCCATATTACTTTTCTGAGCAATGAGCAATATCTGTCATGAACACCATCAGACTGGAAAATTGGTTCCATGAAATGACAAGCTCATTTTGAAAAATTACATGATTTAATAAGTCCTTAGAGTCACATGTTTTAATAAGAAATCTTGATCTTATTAAATTTGTTTGCTCTTACTCAAAAGTGTTTTTATCTTTCACAAATTGTTAAATTTTGTTGCTCCCATGGTTATGGTCAGTGGTAATGGAAGACTTTTTACATTCTAATGCCAATGTCAAATTTGAGTTCTCCTTTGCAGCAAAAAAGTAAAAGTATGTGGATTGGAAATTTGAGTGTATTGGCAAAATATTGCAGGTGCAAAACAATTCCAATTGTTTTGTCCTTGCAAAGCCTGTGACCAACCCTGCTTGTAACTCATCCCATAAAATTATGATTCAGCGATTGAGGAAAAACATACCCTAGTATTTTACCAAACACTTGCAATTTTAAATTTCAGTTACATATTGTTGCAAATTGCTGTTTTTTAACAGGAATCTTTGTTCTGACAAACTCTGCAGCTCTGTGTGTCATAATGTAAGCCTTTAGCTGACAAGCTCATGCATAACCTACAGGGCTCTTATTTTCTAGTAGATAGCACCTTACAAAAAAACTGAGACATACAATTACACCAGCTTTTGCCACAGAGATTGCTTTGATTAATAAGAACAATCATCCACAGAGTAATACCTATTACCCTGCTATTACTCTGGACCTGCAGTGGCAGATCCAGACTGCCCCCATTACCGCTGGTAGTCAGATTATTAACAAAATTATAAAAACAAGGGCCCTTTTTATGTTGACTCTACCACTTTAAGTAAACCATAATTAAAAATTGAAGAAGTTTGATCGCACTGCAAGCCAAGAATTCCTCCCTTGAGAAAAGCCTGAAATTGTCATAGAGACAAAAATGCTTTTGAGTGCAGATTCAAGCAGCACTGAGTGGAACCAGCCTGTTCAGCAAAGTCACATGCTGGCATGGGGGGATGATGTAAGCATTGCCTGCTAGCTAGGGGGGTATAGTTAGTGTAGAGCAGATTTAAGCTGTACTGAGCGGTGGTCAGGCTGTCTAGACCAATCAAATCATCAGAGATCACAACTAGCCTGGGGGATGCTTACAACTTTTGTTGACAACCAATGAACAACCAAGTTGACAACCGCTCAGATGGGAGGTTGAGTAGTACTGCTGCTAAATACTGTTAAAATCTTATAGAAAGATGGGGGATGCCTGCATATTCGTCAAGAGGGCAAACTGTAACTTCAAAGCCAACATGAACCATTATTAAGTATAAAACACCCATTTTTGTAGGAATATATTTTGCAAAAATATGGAGGCTCAAAATTACAAAGTGTAAGAAGGCAACAGTTAAAGAGATCTGTTTACCTTGTTCTATGGTGTTACTTAGGCTAAATGTAAATTTTTTATTCTTTTAGAATCTCCAGCCTCAGAATATTAAGCAAACACAATTTGTCCTTCTCAAGGTTGTTGTGAAGATAATTAAAACCTCAAGGAGGCACTGTTGCATCTTGAAAATGGTCTTCATAAGAAATTATCAAAAACAATTATCATAATATATGTAGGTGTGCAGGAATCATTTTGGTTACACCACTTGAAAAAAACTGTAAATGAAAAACAAATATCTCACATCTACTCCAGGACGTAAGGGGTGTTTCAAATTCTACCCGCAAATTTAATACTTCAGCGGTCTTTTTTGTCGATAAAAGCAAACGCAGGAGGAACGCTACAAAGAACAGTCCGATATTCTCCATTCTCCTGGTAAACATTTTTTATCTATAGTCTTTTTTATAGATCAGTGGTAAACATTTGAAAAATAGCTACTATCTTTGGATAGCCTCCATTCAATTCTCGACTCACTTTTAAATAGAGGTTTGAAGGTAATGGTGGCACAACAGCCAAGCGGAACTGTACCCGAAAAATGCCTCATGCAAGTATGGCGGAGAATATGCGGTTCCAGGAACCAAATGGTATGCTGTTTGCCGGTCAAACGGAAACAAGCCGTGATCTTTTTAATGCTTTTAAATCAAGGCCCCTTCCAAACCACAGTATTATTCATAAACTCGTAGATAGGGAATTGGGACTGGCCATGAGAAAACCGAATACCCACTTGCACACAGCCAAGTCGCTCAATCTTAACGTTTTTCCAAATTTCACAGTTGTTAATATTGAGAAGCCTCCGTGTTTTCTTAGAAAATTTGCACCAGATGGAAGACATTTTGTTTCATTTTCAAGAGACCAAAGTTCACTAGAAATATACGAATTTTTAGGACCAGATGCTGGAGAGGAACTTCTTAGAAAACGAGGCAAATGTGGGGGAGAAGGAGAAAAATTCATCCGTGATACGCTATTTGACAAGTTTTTCAGAAAGAAAGCAACAGTTACAGTTGCATCTAATGGTGAACATCTTAATCGTGAATGCAGTTTGTTTACAGATAATGGTAGGCATGTTATTGTTGGGTCTGCAAGCAATGTTCCTGATGACCCTGCACCTCATTTCTATGATAAATATAGAAATAATGAATCTGTTTCATCTTCTCATACTTTGCCATTAGAGGATTATACAATTCATATTGTTGATTTGTATAATTGTGAGCAAGTGGACACCAGGGTCTTCAAATGTGACAAAATTTTCTTGTCACACAACCAGGGGCTTTACTTGTATAGAGATCTTCTGGCAGTACTTTCTGTACAGCATCAGACTATACATATCTTTCAAGTAACAGGAGGCGGTCATTTTGTTGATGTACGTATAGTTGGGAGATTTTGTCATGATGATGACCAAATGATATTTGAGTCAGTAAGAGAGGCTCGATGCCTTAGACCATATCGGGAAGTGACACTGAACAGTTTGAAACATAGAATCCTAGTCTATCTATATAACTGGTCAATGAAGCAAGAAAGCAAAGAAGCACTAAGAAGATTTTATCAGCACTTTGACCAATTCCGGCTGCTTCGCATGTGGAAAATGCAGCTTTTGGATGAGGACCATTTACTTATCAAATATGCTAGCGAAGATGTTGTTACACTGAAGGTCACAGACCCAAATTCTCAGTTATCCATCTTTGTAATTTATAACATGGCATCAACAGATGTTGTTGCAGTTTATGAAAACAATTCTGAAGCATTATTGGAACTGTTTGAGCAATTTAATGACTCATTCAGAAATGCCTTACCTGGCAATTATGTGCAATTTACTTGCTCTACATCAAGCAACATTTATGCAAGATATAATCAAAGAAGATTTAAACATACAATTATTAATGCCAAGTATGGTGGCCATGCTGAATCTGTCAAAAGACTTCTAGCCCAACTTCCCATCAGTTCCCAATCTTATAGCAGTAGTCCCTATCTAGATTTGTCACTTTTCAGCTATGATGATAAATGGGTTTCTGTTATGGAACGTCCTAAAGCATGTGGAGACCATCCAATACGGTAAGCTCAATTAATAAATACATATCAAAAACAGATTAACATCAAATCAAAGATTTTTGACAATTTATTACAGGCTTTATTTGTAATTAATTATTCAGGTTCAAGTTACCTTTTAAAAACCTTATAGCTGAATTCCTTACTTTTTATTTTAAGATATGTTAAGGATAGAATGCCCCTTCAGTTTGAAATTTCTCATTTTGTTATGATGATTTTTATCTTTGCAGATTTTACTCAAGAAAATCTGGTTTGTTGATGTTTAAAATTCATGCTGGTGTATTGGGTAGGCCAATTCCTCCAACAACAAAGAGACTGGTTGCATTTACATTTCATCCGTTTTATCCCTTTGCCATATCTGTTCAGAGGAACAATTCAGAATATATTGTCAACTTTCATGTGAGACATTTAACATATGATGGCTCCGATCATATTTGAGAGAAAAGAGCTTTTGATATCAGATTATATCTGAGAAAAGGCATTTTTGTACATTGGTTCTCAAATTTGAATTTCCTGTTTCATTAGTCATAAAATTTCAAGTATTGGCAAACCTTGTTATTCTTGTTTGGAATTACGGTATTATTGTTCACACAACTATTTGATGGAATATTTGTTGATAAAAACTATTTTAAATATCTAACCATGAAATTAAAGAAAAGTTGACTTTTTTGTTCATAGTTGTATTTTTTCACAATCTTGACATTCATGTGTAAATAGGACATCAATTTTTATAGTTTTTTATGGGTTTATTCAGTTAAATATTCTATTCATTGTAAAATCATAAAATTAGCAAAATTGTTGTTTGTTTAGGAAGTTAACATTTAGAGTAGGGAAGGCTTAATATATGATTTTCTTATTTCATGATATTCTAGAAGAATTTGAATTGTAAAAATTTAAACAAGCATGGGTTTTATCAACTTTGGCATTGGAGGTGAGCAGGCAGGTCAACAACTGGCCATTATCTAATCCCCATATCTTTCTGGCTCCTGTCTAATTTCAATCATTTTTTAAAAAGGCTTGTTACTTAAGTGGAACTTTGTATTCCTCTACACTAAAATGATTCACGGAAACCTCATTTTTGCACTTCCAGAATGACTTAATTTTTGAATCCCCAAATTTTAACTTTTCTTCATTTTCAAAGTGTGCTTTCAAATGTATGTGTTTTGTAGTATGGCAGCTTGAACCATAAAAGATTAGTTTCCTTCTGTCTTGTCATAAAAGCAGAGTGCTATGACTTCAAAATATGAATAAAAAGCAGGCAAAATATTGAATGTGTGAGAAGAAAGAACCGCAGGATAGGCTGTCTGTTGGATTCTGTGAATCTTGCTGAATCAATGGGTATGATATGAATACGAGGATAAAATTTAGGACAAAGCAAAACAGCGATGATAATCCAATGTTACATGACTCAAGGTTATCTTAAAGATGACCTAATATGCTTAAATCTTTGAGAAAAATTTATTTGTTAAGAAGAGATTACCAGTTGACAACAAACAATTGTTTCCATCTTGTTCAAATATTAATATAACAAATATTACAATATTATTATCTGGCAGCCAGTTTCTAATCAAGGTGTGACGGATCTGGCTACATGGAATGGTCCAACATGAAAGCGGGATGGATGTTGAGAATTGAGGAAGTCAAGGAAATCAAAGGAAATTGTTGAGGAAGAATTAGTTTTCTTCAGTTTTGTGAGAAAATAAAAACAAATTTAGTGCTGTTGTGCCTTGAAGTGCATACTGATGGGGAGCGAGTCAATATATGTTGAAAGCTGCCTACTCTGCCTCATCATGTCCATTGTCAAGTTTGTACCAAATCCTTGTTGATGAACTTCATCTCCAAGAAAATCTGCTTTTAATATAGGTGTTTATGAAGCCTTTCATAAACAATTTATGTGGGAAGGTTGCGTAATATCCACCCAATTTAAACCAGGGTTGGTGGCTCACAACACATGCTTGATGCCAAAGATATTATGGAAAAATTAACTTTATGTTTAAGTAAGGAACAAGCGTCTTAGAAATGACCAGTCTGCAAAATATTTAGACTCAGCTTGTGCTCATAATTAACTAGCAATTATAACTAACATCATTGGTCCTATTAATTTCTGTTTTTATTATTTTTTCATTTTCGAGATGAAAAACGAACAGTGAAATTTCATCTAGAATCCAATTGTTTTCTATCTTCTTATATCCAATGGGAAAAAAGCGATTCAATATCACATGACAAGCTGATCCTGACGAAGAATGAAAACTCTGTATTAGTGTTTTTCTATTGTGATTGATATGCTCGACAGTAAGAAATTTCCCCCGTCAATCAACAAAAAAATCAGCTGGTCGAGAAAAAAAGAACTTAATAACGAGCGAAAACGATAGGCAAGGATTAGCTCCTAGTTGGAACCGTTAAATTGCGCTCACCTGACCCGTTTCAAATGTTCACCGACCGATATGTTTGTAAAACACACCTGTTGTGAAGCGCTTGATTCCAGTGTCGATTGAAACACGCTGAGAATTTTAAGCGACAGAACGCATACTGAAGTGGTGGACCAAATTGATGGGCAAGATCTCAACTCGATGAAAAAGAAAAACTTCTGAATATCAGTGTCGAAAAAATGGAATGTAAAAAGGTATGCTGCGACAATCGTTCCTTGTTGTAACACACTTTTCTTTCATAAGAATTTGTTTTATAAAAGTAGTTAGGCTCCGAATCGTCAAATTTTTAGGGAATATTATAAGAATATTACTTAGCCTCAGCTCGCGTATTTGTGTCTCATTTTACAGCAGTTGCTTGTTTTTCAATGTTCATATAAGAAAGCAGAGAATCGCATGGCTTATGTATCTCATATTTTCAAACCTCACATTTACAATAAGTCTAAACATTGATACCATGGCCGAATTTAAGCAAACACAATTTATTTTATCACTTTCATCCTAACTTATTTTGTTTTCAAACTCTTTACCTTATCAAGTCCTTATGCATCCGACGTATTTTATGAATGTTAATGCCGGTTATTTGTGGTTATATTTACCTTTTCTTTCTATATTTTTAAAAAAATTTGAAAATTGCTAGCAAGATAAATATTTTACTCTATTTTCACCAGTAAAAATGGTCTTTTAATCCCTTCAATACTTTCAAGTTTAGAATCTTCAGCCTTTCAAACATATATCGAATTTAGGGGTAAGACCATGGAGGTCGTTGCCCCTTTCAGGAGTCCGGATCTCAACAGAGCTATAACTCCTTACCTTGATAAAACTATTGAATCCACTTATGATGTAAAACTTACCAAACAACTCAGAAAGATTCCCACAATTCAATAATTACAATATCTGAAAAAGCTTCGTTTGGAAAGGGCAGTAGACATAGCATTCTCGGCAGTACCACAGAGTCAGGCTCGATAATTTTTTTGTTTGCAGAGTACGAAGCTATTCATCGAGCGGTTGTCAGTTTACGTCGTTATAAGGAGAGCCAATCTATTCTTTACGGCGTCGTGTATGCGAATTGTTTATAAATTTCGGTCTCCCACACTATGCCAAATAAGATGATAACAAAAATCCAGAGGAAGAAACTGCCAGAAGGGTCGAGGTTGCCGAAAAATGGCACCTTATACATTTTACTGCTCACAGAGAGAGAAAGTCGAATCATGATTCTTTTAAGAATCCTCCAGGACTCCTAAAAGTGAAAAAACTGGAAAAACTGAGATTGACATGCCAATCCATCCCCACTCCCCGGTAATATACCTGCCCTAAATTGTCATCATTTTCAAAGACTCGACGCTGAGGTTAAAAGGAAAAGAATCACCCCCTGGCAACGAACAGTAACAGGTTAAAAACAGTCGAGCAACGGCTGGCTTAGAATGCCGCAAAGTGATTTTAAATACTGAAACAACTGGGCTAAGATAACCATCGAGGTACCTTGGATTTCATAGCAAAGCAGTCTGATTCAAAAAGAAACTTGCAGAAAACATGCAGCCACTGCTGCTCCAAACCAAGCACAAGAAAAGATATACAAAGTCTAAGAAACACGGCACACCACGTGTAAGCTTCTATGTTAGCATCTCCACTACACCAACTGCTATTAACAATGTAATTTTAGGTAAGCAGTCCAGTTTTCCATGCCACGTATTACCACACATTATTATGTATACACAAATTTTGAGAATAGGGCACAGTTGAGTTTCATGATAACATTGAAAAGTAAGCGAGTTGTTTTTGAATATATTTATACCATTTTACCTTTAACAATAAAGGTATCTTTTGTACGTTGCTTCGTCATTAAAATTGAGGCTAGCGGTTTCCGTGTCTTCTTTCTTAGCTTAAGGAAACTGGTTGTTGCAAAGATTGCATCTTCATTTTGCTCGACCCCTATTTCAGTTTCTGTTACAAAATTATTTGTTGTATAGGTTGTTGCGTATTGATATCTCGGGTGCAACCTCGGCGAAAAGCATTTAAATCATCTAAATCTATCAACTGATAAAAGTTAAAATGAGAACGAAAAAACTTTCATTATTTTTCGAAAAAAGTAAGCTTTTAGTATTTTAGACACCATCTGCTAGAGAAATATAATCTTCTTCAGAGGGATAATCTCCATATATCAGGCAAATAGGTGTGTCTAAACATTCCATATGTTCTGAAGGAATCTGAAGATGGTTTTCCTCCGATTGGAATGGGAAAAAAATTAAACAGCTTCAACAGAAAATTACACTGCACTGGCATTAAATATTGAACCACATGCAAACAACTTGCTTGAACCTTACACGTAAATCGTAAATCAGATCTAAGAGTCGCAAAATTACAGTATAAGCTGGGTAGTATTGTGATAGAACATTCAATTGAATCTTATGCTGTGATATTTAGCATATGTTATGCTGCGAATTGCTAAAACCGTTAAGTAGTTTTCATAGTGCTGAGTTTTTTTACACGGAAACAGCCTTTTGAATGCATTACGTTAAAAACTTGCGTAGCATGAGAATTTGATGATATGAATCCTTAGTTTCCACTTCTTTTCATCATATTGCCATAGAAAATTAGAAAATGCAAGTTTAGAGGTTTAGTTTAGTAGACCAATAGATATAACATATCTTGTAAGAGCTGCCTATTGCTGGGGTGAGGTCATTTCAGCACAAAGGACGATTATCTCCATCCCAGATGGGTACACGTCTACACTTTTTGTTAATTTTAACAATAACAACGCGAACGGTAGGAGGGAATTAAAGACAACCACGAGCAACAAGTGCCTTGCAGTTTGAATCGACAGTACCCTAAATATGAAACCGGTTTTTGACAAGTGCTCTAAGCAGCGAAGGCTATTTACGAAAGTATGATCTCCTGCTTTAGTCATTGGGAGGAAGACTCGGGTGGAGACATTTACATTCCTTGACATTTCCACAACGTGAACACATTATTTGTGAACTCTAAAAAAATTTCACACTTTCTTTAAACATTGTTTAAAGTCTGTTTTTACCTTATTCATCGCACTTTTCTTGTCATTTTTTACTTTTAAAATTGTTCATTTTGTATTAAACGCCACCCTCCATTAGACGCCGCATCTAAAAGTTGGATTCTGTAATGAACACCGCGGCGTTCTTTAGTGGAAATAAAGTATGCTAGAAGAAGTTTCTCATTCGCTGGTTCGAAGGAGTTGCTGCCATTGGAAGCCCATGAATAGCCAGCAACACAACTTAAATCTTATCCAAAGAAATATTTTAGCTAATATGCGATTAAACTTATCTTTAATGTGAGCTAATACGCGATGATATTTCAGTTAAATTTTTATAGGTACATTTTTTATGGTAGTTACTGCAGGTTAGGCTGTATTTTAGGTTACTTTCATTACTTTTACTGGATATATGAAAAAAACATTTCAATTGTATATCCAGTTAAAATATTCAAAAGTATTATCATTATTATTATTATCATTATTATTTTTATTATTATTATTATTATTATTATTATTATTATTATTATTATTATCATAACATTCTTTTTTGGGTCGAAAATACTTGAAAACACAGAAAAAAGGAAATTCGATTTTCTAGTAAAATCAAAATCAGCAAGATTCGTAAAATCAAGCAGCTTCGATGACAGGCAAGTTTATCAATGGTATCCTAAAACACAGTTTCGAGATTGGTATAACAAACAAAAACAGAGTACCACAATCCAAAGTATACCAGGGTACCAATTTTGCAATGTCAGATTCACTATATCCTAATAGAGACCAATGTCGAGAAAGCAGAGCAGCGCTGGATATATGAGGGGCATTGGACCCAGAAAATGATGGGGGCCCATTTGTATTTGGCTATGTTCAAATTCATTCCAACTAAATCTCATTGATTTCTTTGCAAGAACTCGAAAAGTTATATAACTTGGAATAACTTAACCAAAAATATTGCCCTGAAATGTGTCTCCCCCACCCCAATGTCATGCCACTCGGTATGCCAAGTGGCGAGGTACTGTGAAAGAGCCTTAGTGTAATGACTGGCAAAGAAGGACTCAACTGAAAAAGAAAAGTAATAACTAAAATTAAAAGGTTTTTGCGAAAATGTTCAGAGAGCCTGCAAAGCGTAGCACGATTGGCTAGTCTGCTTATGGAGACACCTGCCAAACAACATGAGCTGAACAAAACTTTAATTCCTACTTTTAAAAATAGCATGGACACCTCAAAATCTTTAACGTAAGACCCGTGAGTTGCCAAGACATGAAACAATGGCTCCTAACAGCTGGTAATGAAATATGCATTAAAAACGACGTTAAAAGTGATACGAACTTGACCTTTCTAGCTGTGATGGAAAATCAGTCACAGAGATTCTCGAACTAAAATTTTCGCTGTCTAGCGATACGAGGGCTTTATCGAGAAGCGATTCAAAAACGAGTAACAGTCTCTAGATAACCAGTTGCATGGTAATTCAAAAGTCATAACCCAGTCTACTTAAACAATCAAGCAGACAGGCTTTTGAAAATTAGCTAGATTTCGTGTAATTTTTCATTCTTTTTTGCAACCTGTTAAGCCATCAACTAGACATTAACTGACAGTGTCAAGACCTTTGATGTGTTAATGGATAGAAGACTTTCTACCGCCAAGAGTTTATTCTCCTCCGTGAGAATGATAGCCTGCAATCAGGTTACATGTTGCAAAAGTTGCAAATTTCTGGACCTATAAACCTTCGCTAGTGGCCTATTGATAGAGGGCCGAAATCATGTTTCTTTTATAAGCGTTTATCTTGATGAAGTTTTGCTTTTTAACAGGTATGGCACATTTGTTGATCATGGTTTTCATAAACGCCACGGGGGACACAGGTAGAGCTGGAAACTCGAGTTGCAGATTGTGCCTATTGGCGGAAGAGAATCAAATCCTGCTGCACTTTCTAGCCCTTTCAAAGCCAACGAGAGTATCTTGCAGTTTTTTTCTAATGCTGCTGGCACTCATCTCAATATACCTCAACATATCATCAATATATTTCATTTTGCATGAAGTCAGGCGTAGAACACATGTCAATCTACTTCTCTCTAGCCAAGCACTTGCAGACGCGCTAACAAACGTACTGGTAATGCTACCAATATCGATGATAATATTACCAAATTCATCATCAAGACCAAATTACTATATCTGTATTATAATATCATTTCTTGATCACTGGTTCCATTCAGTAACCATGCTAAACCTCGCTGCCATTATAGTCGATCGATATACAGTTATCGTTCAAAGAAAACTCAGCGCAGTGACTAGGAGAACAGAGAAGTCGATGGCCGCCATAACTGTTATTTGGCTTACGACTTTCGTGCTCGATGTGTCATATGCCGTGCCTTTCTTACAGCAGGTTGATTGGATTTCCATTGAAGCATGCCCACACTGCAGCCCATCGAAAAGCATCTTCCAATGGCTTGATGAATTTATAAACAGAATTATACCGTTTTTTGTTATATTGTATTGCTTTTCTAGAATGATCTTGTTGACGTATAAATCTAGGCACCGTGTTGGAGTAAAGAACGGTGTTGCAAACTGGAAGACTATTCTTATTGGAATATATGCAAAATCCGTTAACTCTTGCCTGGTAATAATGACTTTGTTCTTGATTGGAACATTCCCGGACCTGACATTACTGATTACTCTGAACTGGCGTTGGACCGTCGATCTGAACACATTGATGTTTGCAACCTGGATGCGGTTCACGATGACCGCCATCAAACCAGGGATTTACATGATGCAGAGCCGCAAGTTTTCGATTTGCTGGTGCTCTTCATGTTGCCGTAATGTGAACATGACAACTTTAGTGACATTGACAAAAAGACCAAGTACATCTGTCAGACAGTCCAGTCATCGTGAAATGGTTTCTAAAGTCAGCTTTACAAAAGCCAGCGACCTTTTTTCTATAAAGTTGCAGATTGATGAGCTAGATGCATCAAAATCGAATGGATCAAAGACAGACGTGGCACAAAAAGTTTTTCAAGCAAGAAAAAACATTCACAACCACTCCGAGATCACCACGAGGAAAAAATTGATTGGCACATTTGGCAAAGATGCTTGACAAAGTGAACCTAAAAACTTAACTGTCCATGGAAGCCAGAAGAGGTTGGACCCGAATCAGGAAACTAGTTTTGATTGTTATGTTTCCAGAATTCTTTCAAGTTTGCCAAAAGGAAAATTGTCAATACTCGATGAGGAGCTTTTAGTAACTAAACACAACCTTGCCCATCAATCGAGTTAGACATCAAGCTGACTTTGTTTTTTTGAAACTAAATAAAGACTCTTTGTTTATAAAATAAAGACTAAAGCACTTTGGCTTGCAAGTATTACTCTACCGCTGATATCAATGTAAACAAATAATAAATTGATAAGCTTACCAGTTTAGGTATTCTCATGATTGGTTGAATTCTTCTGCAGCAACAAATTTATGCTCTTTCCATTGCGCTGAATAAAATAAAGTTGGCAATCATTGAAGGCTAGTGCAACTGAAATGCTTGCAGGAGCACAGACTTTAACAAGAAATAAATTGTCGCTTTACATCTTTGAGACAGCACAGATAACAATTATGGTGATGAAGAAGGTTCATATTAGGAAATTTCTCCTACAATTGTTATCATTAAAGAACTTTGCAAATCTATATGATGAACGTTACTGACAACTTGTCTGCATTATAATGTTCGAAGCCGTAGGAACAGATCTTCACATACTTTGGTGTGCCAAACAAGACGCTATATTGAATTTAGACCCAAACGCGTAAAACGAACAGTTAAGCTCCATTTACAGGCATACACCCATTAAACACACAAGATTTCAAGCAACATTTTGTGTGACTATAAGTGGAGTGTTCTGTACTCTATTGGTATGTGTTGTTGCTTCTAGTTTTCATATGCCTTGCTAGGGGAGGAAGTATCATTAACCGTTGGTATAAAGATATTACACCGCTACAGATATGTCTAAAAAAGGTAAATCATATCCTTTTATCTTCACTTTAACGTTTAAAAGAAATCAGCCTGTTAATTCTTGCGCTAAAGTATTCGAAATGTGAAGCGACCGGAAAACCAAGTAATAATTTAACAATGTCAATGTAGCATATAGTTTTGATTCTGAAATGTTTCACTTGCAGTAGGAGCAAATAAAATTATCTTACACATGTATTGTTACAGATCAAACCAGGATGTTTTAAATTCTAAATTGTTATACGTTTCTAGAGAGCTGTTGCTACTTCAAGTAGAACTACGATTTTGTACATTGTTTCTGCTGCACAAGGCATCAGATCTTTGCACTATTTTGGACTAAATGCTAACGAGATGTAGTATTTGCAGATCCACGAATTTATAGGAATTGGTTTATCTGATGAATTTTTAAAGATGAACGTCACAGATAAGCTTTAAATATAAATTTTTAGACTTGAATATGAAACCTCAACAAATTGCCTTTCCAATCTGCCACTTGGAAAAATTTTCTCCAAGAAAAAAATTCATTTCGATTTCATTTCTCAGATACAAGCCATGTCATTAGAAGCTTAGTCATTTCTAGATAAATCATTCAAAAACACTAGAAAATTAAGTCAATAAACGACTGCAAAACATGATATCAATAGGGTACTTTCTTACCTTGCAAAAGCCAACAGAATATCGAAATGACTTTCGAGATTCAGAGCATACAAAGACTTCTTTCTGTCCTGTCAAGTAAATAGAATCTAGACTTAGCAAACTGTGAGCATTTGACTCCTAATGATATAATAAGTACTGCAGAATTATTGTACTATGACTTTTGAAGTACTATAAAAACTTCATTCTTAAGATTTCTTATAAAAATCGAGTGAATAGTTTTGTTATGAAGATGATTTGGATTCTATTAAACCAATGAACATAACTCTTCTTTACAATAACCCTTGCTTTACATCAATTGGTACAAAATGACAACATTGTCTCAGACAATCCTAGAGAGGTTTCTACATGCTCTGTAGAACGTAGAAGTCTGGCGTGCAACCTAAGCTTGTCTCAGCTCGTTGAAAGACAATGCAGAAAAAGAAGATTCGAAGCTTAATATCAGATACAATCTGATAAGGGAAATGGAAAGTGATATCTTTAAAACATTCGGAACACTTACTGAAGTTAGGTCGTCTAGTGAGTCATCGAATTAGACAGGACTGAATAATTCCGAAATAGACGAAAGTTGCTTATCAGTCCAAAACATATTCTTAAGTGCAACAGCTGGAGAGTAAAAAGAGCTTTTACTTAGAAAACCCACTTAGTTCAGCGTGAGATCAACAGATAGTAGTCATTATGCTGTTATAATCCTTTTAACAGCGACTCTCCCTATTCCTTTTACCTAATTGTACTTGTTGCTTATGTATGTTCTGGAGTAATTAGGAAAGCTCTAAAATTCATAGTAGCTACAAAAAGGCTCCAATGATGCTTTAAATAAAATAGGTCAGAAATGACACAATAATGATTAGTTAATGACTTTTTTAACATTGTATGAGAAGAACCTTCTATCCTGTTTTTTTTAAACTAAACAAAACAAAGCAAAATCATAAGAACTTCTTTCCCCTTGGCTCATTAAATTTGATGTTGCCCAGCAGCATCTAGCTACAAATTCGATCAAGCACCTATTTCTCAAAATTTGCCAGACATAACTGTTAGCTCTACTCAAGGGCAGAATAACAAGAATCAAATTTGCAATGTTGTGACCACACTCTCCCTCCTGACTGATAGTATGAGGTGACAACACAACATGAATGACAGATGACTCACAATTAAACTATGAGATTAACAGGTTGAGTTCTATAGATGCGTTTTTCACTATGATATTTTGGTGACACAGCTCTTCTTATCTTTAGACATTAACACTAATACACCAAGCAACATTTTTTATTGTTTTAACACACAAAAATAGGAAAAGAAGGGGCTGAACTATAAAGCAAATGAACTTTCTGTGGAAAAGCCAGTGGAATTTACAACACTTTTGATTACAATTAACAATGTCGATATATTTATGAAAAACATCTCAAATTCACTCAGATTTGCAAATGTTCTAATGATGCTTTTTCTCAAACCGCAGTCCACAATATCCACATGCATGAGGCCCGTCTTGATCCTAGAAAACACAATTAAATAAAGTAATTACTGTTTATGATCTGAGAAAAAAATATCAAAGTAGATTAAAGTAAGTATAGAACGTAACATCTAATCTTTTATGTTTTAGACTTAAAACTTTTTGAGAACAAACAACAAAGGGAAATTTGTCATAGTTAAATATTTCATCAGAACAGAACTCATTATGAGTTATCATTGAGTTCATTTTGACTCAGCTTTTCACACCCATTAAACTCAAGAAGCTTATTAAAAAATGATAAACCAGAATGAAAAGTCTGCAAGTTGAATCAATAAACAAAAAAGGCACCCTTAAATATTTTGGGTCATTTGTTAACTGCTCTTGAATGAATCTACAGGTTTTGCAGCAATTATACTTAATTGGCAGCAATTCCTAAGAAGCACAATTAAAAATAGTAATGAAAAAATAGAAAAAAGTAATGTAGACCCAAGTAACTGATGAAATGTACATAAAAGTAAAAATGATTCATACCAAATTTATGTACACTTTTGGATGCCCCAAGGCACCTCCACCTGTAAAAAAATCAAAATGTTTCTAAATAAACTTCCTAACATCAAAAGCTATTGGTGTTACAAAAAGATTCATTTTTGTTTGCTTCTATCGAGCATTTTTCTGGCAGTTTGGGCAGACTTGAAACATGGTAATGAAAGGGCTATTGAAAATATATACTTTTTTCTATAGATGAAAAATTCTCAGAATGTTACTGCATTTCAGAAAGCAAAAAGTGATGTGGTGGGCATTACTCATCAATATTGTTCATAGATTTTCAGAAATTTCAGACAATGGAAGAATCTAAAATTGATGGGGTGGTAAATGGCAAAAAACTTTATGTTGTCATAGCTTTTGATCAAAATATCAATTCAAACAAACATCACATTGAAGTTTTTCAATATTGCATGACACAACAGAGCCTTAGTATTTGAGAGTAAGGGGTTTTTATTGGCTACATCTAAAAGAACATTAGATAATGAATCTTGCTAGGACTACAGTTCTATACTTTTCCTTAATTTTTTCTTAATTTGGTATAATTAAAGCTAGTATCTCCTAACAATCATAGGTCTTCATAATTTAAGCAGCCCATGATACTGCAATCATTATCCTTAAATTTTTACTCAAAATTTAATTACTGGCAAAATAGAACCAAAGAATAAGAAAATTATATCCTTTACCTCCATCACAAGAGACAACTCTTTGATTCACTTCAATAGGTGGAACTTCATTGATCAAAGTCTGACTAAAATTTTCATTCACCTGAAAAGAATGGGAGATAAAAAGTTTAAGAAATGAGTTCAAAGAATAAAAATGTCTCTAGGAGGAATACCTCAGAGTCAGGTATAATATTCTTCAACACCTAGAGTTTTGAACATCTAGTAGCCTGGGGTCACTATGTTAGTCTTCTATTTTTTAAACTAACTTAAAATGCTCCAAATTCACTCGAATTTCTCAAATCTGCTATTTTGAATTTATGTTGTAAGTCTTTTTGGTAAAATTTAATACATCTTTTGGAATTTTGCCCTGAAAATTTCTCTTTTGAGGAAATCAATACCTAGGAGTTTGAAAATGACATCAGAAACCTGCTAACATCTATAGAAAAGCAATGAAATGTCTGTATCCAAGGGTTGCTTTTGTCCTTAGCAACTATGCTGCCCCCATTTGTGTCACTTTTTGACAATGTTTCCAAAATGTGACAAATCCCAACTTTTGTATATTGAATATATAGTGTCTTAGCTTGACTAGAGCAAAAAATCAGATTTGTATTTTTACAATCAGATTTTAATGAAAAATTTTCAAAATTTGTATGGTCTGATAAGGAGATTATTCAGAACAGAAATTTTTCTTAAGAAGCTAAATACAAACTTATTTTTGCAGGTATGTGGGAATGGTTTCAATATTGCAAAATAACTTGCACCTAATAAATTTTATTAAGTAGAAGTACTTAATAAATGCTTTATTAATTAATGTCCAACAATGGATTCAGTTCAGATATTCTTCAATTTTTAAAATGTCAGCAGTTTCTAAGGATTGCCTCTGGAGTTTGGCAATAGAAATGGTGCACTCACTATCAATAAAATATTCACATTTGTTTGCTTGGCCATTCAAAATATGTTGAGAGAAATTGAGAATGCATAAAACAGATTTGGACATCCTCTGTATCCTTGTCTGCTTGAAAGACAACAACAAGCCAAAAGGCTTCATCGTATCGTGAAATGAAGAATTTTCCTGGATTTAAGCCACTTATTTTAATTATTTCTGGCTGGTTGGAAAAATTAAACTTGATTCCATAGTTGACATCTTCAGACACCCTCTTTGCCCCAATTTCATTTATGCTTAGCGGAACAAATTGGTGGTAGCTTCTTGAAATTCTTGTACCAGGCACTGTTCTAGAAAATGAAAAAGCTCCTTCAGGTCTTCTCTTTTTTGACCCACTTCAGCTCTACCTATCAACTGAAATTGGATTCCAATAATCTCCTCCTTGCAAAAATCAAACTTTCCCTTGCCGTAAGTATTTGGTTCTCCTTGTGTCACTGCAAATTTGCCTTAGCCACAATTCTTTTCACCGTACCACCTATGCCATCACAAGGTGATTTACCGTGACTGGTGGCGAAAGAATTCCATTTACAATCCATTCCAAAATCGTTCTGATGGTGGCACAAGTTGAAGAAATTTTTACAATTCTTATATTGCCCTGCACAACCATCAGAAAAATGTTGATTGGATTTAATGGTATCAGAAATGTTTCTTTTAATATAATCCATTGTGCAGCTCATTATTTGATAAACCATTGTGACGTCATGATCCAAGTCATCAGAGATGAAACATATGGAGTCCTAAACAAGAATAAAACTGCAGTGATGGTCAACCACTATGGGATGGAATGTCCATTGTTTCTGATTCCAGTGGTAACTTTGTATTTCATCCTGAATCAGAAACTTGTAATTTTCAGCAAAATCGCCTAGCACCATAACCTCAGTATTTTCCAGATTATCTTTTATTTCTTTTAAATATTTTGTTTGTGACTTTGCAATGTAAGAGTGTGCTGCTATTGCATCTAATTTTTCACACAAAACTTCAATGAACTCTTCCACTGTTGCAGTAACCGAAATCGATTCTGCATGATCAGTGGTGGTCCATTGTTTGTATGTTATGCACTCTTCCATATCACCAATGTTTTCCCTTGCAACATCACTTTCTTCATCGCTGTCATCTACACTGCAATGTTTCTCTCCTTCGAAAAAATGCTTGTAAGGAGATCTTTGACGTTGCTAATGCCAGGGCATTTCTGACACCGATGAACCATGCACATATTTGATTGCCTATCACAAACGATCAAATCAATTAGTTTATGGGAGTTTTTTTCAAAATTGACTGCACCTAACATCAGTTTCAAGTTCTGGGAATCCTGCAGACACACACCAAATGTGTTCCTTTGGACCCTACTGGGACACAAGCATTTTGGTCTTAAACTTGCAAACTTTGAGAAACCAATGTTCAGTTGCAGCTATCCAATCCTTACCAGACTATCCAATCTGGGTGTCAAACACATTGCAATTAAAAATATTGTTAAGCTATACTTGGTCTTTATGTAGCAAGCCTTGGCTACCCAATGTGTGTGTGTGAACACACTTCATGCTAGCTAGTTTAATGTCCAAATTAAAATCAATGCTTGCTGTTAGAACAGGGCGGTTCTAAGATGCACTCTGAGTTATGGCCTAAAAACCAGTATCAGACAATGGTTTGGTTAAAAAAAACATCAAACTGAAATGAATATCAAAACAATTCTTAGAGTACTAACCTCCTTTTGCTTGTCTACAAATCTTGTCCTTTGAAAATCATTATCTTCAAATACCTAAAGATTCACAATAAAAACAACTAAGAAATTTGCTTTGAGACAATCTAAGAAATTTGCTATGAGATAATGTTACAATCTATCTGATCAAACCAAAAAAGATATTGTGAAATATCCATGGTTTTAATAAATTAAGCAAACAAGAACCAGCAGCAATATTTTCATTTTTCTTTGTTAACAAAAAGCAATTAGGTAAAAACAGCAGTCAGCAGTGGAATCTATGTAGCTTACGCCGGAGATATCGGGCATAGACTAACGATTTCCCATTGTCTTTCTATTGTTTATTGTGTATGTCGATGCAGGCCTGGATTCAGAGAAAATTTGAAGAATTTTTCAGAAATTGATGATCAGTGTAAGCTGTATTCAATTTGTAAGGAAATTTTTCACAATAATGTTATATACTTAAAGGAAATCTTTGAAGTAAATTAATTTAGAAGTCTCAGAAACTTTTTCACCTGCTTCTCATTCTTCACAAGGGTGCAAAATTTCCACTTCAAAAGTCGTGCTAGACTTGCTTCAACTCAGTGAAGGAGGGGTGACTGCCCCTAGTTGCCCCCCCCCTAAATCCACGACTGGTCTGGCATGAGCTTTACATGGATTTCACCCTGGGGAGGAGGTTGATGATTCAAAAACTCAAAAAGTCTTGAGAGTTGGCAAACGGATGACACACATGTTCTCATTGCATTTATTCTCAAGGGTAAGCCTACGGTTTCTCCGAAAAAATAGTAATGTGAAAGAGTTATTGGGAAGAGGAAGATGCAGTTAGTCAATAAACAAAGCCCTATAAACATGACCTCTATATGTAATGTATACAGGGTTAGGAAACCCTAGCAAAAAAGACATGTACAATTAAGACACGTATGTTAACTGTGGCTTATATTTCGCCCCAACAAACTGGGCTTCATCAGAACAAGAGTAAAACTGTCTCAGGACCAGACTGTTTTCAGTAGTCCAACAACATAACAGGAAAGAAAGCAATTCTACTTCGACTTCTATCTTCTTCTACATCGTTACTGAGCATGACCAAGTATCGGTATAATGCTCAGAGTGCAAGAAATAATAGATTAATTGACAAAAAGTGCTAGAAGAGAAGATGCCATTGATCAATGATTAGATTGAACATTTACATACATGTCAAATTAGAAGCTGTAGCTAATTAATTAATTAAGTTGTCAGTACCTGTCCGGTATGCGTAACTTTGTCTTTATATAAAAGATGGTGATCCAAGCAAACTACGGACGTTGAAATTGCACGATTCACCTCTTTTATAGCAGGCAATAGGTGCCGGTCGACGCACCTTGCTATTCGTAAAACGCCAGCCATCTTTTTTCTTGAGCAAGTGACCACTGTCAACCAGAGAGAGGTTACAAAAGAAATCGAGGCTGGTCATTAGAGGTATCAAAGTGAAACGACCAAAGGACAAGGGAGGGGGGGCAGGCTTCAGTAAAAGGGCTTTTGAAAAATATTTCCCAGCTTCTACTAATTAGTTTGTAACTATCATTGTTTTTCGATGTTCTGTAGACACCTTGTTAATGGGCTATTTGCTGTCATAAGAAAATTTTGTACAAGTTTTTAGCAATTTTGTCATGAAAAGGCACTACAATCAGGATTTCCTCAAACTAACAAAAGGCCGAGATCAAGTCCACGCTGCAGACGAGACTTGAGTGTCTTGCCCCTTCGTTTTCATCTAGATTTCCTCCCCTGTACTCAGTTGCGGTTTTAAGGGGGATCCAGAGGGCATGGCCCGAGGCCTCGCGCTTGTGGTAGCCAAAAGGGGCCCCATGCGTAAAAGATAGAAATTGTAAAGAACAAGAAGCCCGCGGATGAGTTTGGCCCCGGGCTTCACAGTCTGCATGTACTACTCGGAGGGGGGGGGGGATTATTGGTTCTAATTTTTGAAATTTGTGTGGAACTATGGGTACCATTTGAAGAATTTTGGGGCATAGGACATGCAAAGTTTGGTTAATGATTTTTTATGTACTTTAAAATTTTTATTTGCTCTGCAGAATAATGGGTATAGTCTTCATCATGTTTGCGGAACTATGGGTCACATTTTTTTCAGACATTGGCGGAATTATGGGTCCAAAATTTAAGCAAAAATGGCACATCCCCGTTCCAAATTAGGCATGGTTTACCCCCTGAGCTGTACCAACAACCAATACTCAGAATAAATAAAACGATCAAGCGCAAACTTTTATCCAGTGGCGGCTTTTGCTAATGGGCATCTGGGGCAATGCCCTCTCAAGCTCAAGAAGATTCAGAGGAAAACTATGATATTCATATTTAATTTTGAAGATAGTCTTACTGTGGTTAATTATATAAGTTTGTATCTCTTCTAGAAAAAGCTCCTTGCTATCCCGTCTCGTCCTTAGCCTCGCTTCTGGCTTGCTAGTGCCTTGAGCGATGATGTCATTTTACGGGCAAAGTTTTTTTTGCCCCTAGCCGACATGCGCACAAGCTAATTTTCGACCTCGAGCATTGCGAAACGCGGCCTGTGATTGGCTCAATTGGAGGAATTCGGGGCAAGAAAAATTTTGCCCATATAATGACATCATCGCTAAACAACAACCACATCTATATATGCTTTTTCTTCTGCGCTCCATGACGATCAACATCGAACCATGAATACAGTGAAAAATTTGCAAACTCTTTCTATCGATTATCGCAATATTGATGGTCTGCCCTCCCAACTGTGAAAGTCACGAGCCGCCACTGCTTTTATCACAAGCTATATATAAACAAATCATTACGTTGCACTTATTACATACATTTTACATGTCTATCTTTAAGATTTTGTTTATGCTACACAAAGGACCTTAAGCTACGCATAGTTTGCAACAATTTTGACCAAATTTTAGAAACTCATCTGCAAGTTATAAACAACAATTTTGATCATAAACTTTTGTAGAGCAAGGAGCCGAGGCATCCTTTGTCTACAAAACGACCATAAAATAATTTTTGATCCAATGCTAGAAAATAACACCCAACCACGACCTCAAAGCCCCCCTTCTCAATTGATCTAGAAGTCCTTTTTAGCTAAAATTACAACTTTTGCTTCAAAGTAAATATGTAATAATGCTTCCAATATCGCGAGTTTAAAAATTATTATTGTCCTAATTTCGACTACCTGTTTAAAATTTATACATATGTGGATTAGATTCCGGAGGTTTCTAGAGTAGAAAATAAGATTATTTTTTTAGTTAGGCGTGAAAAGATCACGGTCTTGATGACCGTCAGCACACAATCGTAAACAAATCACAATAAAGGAACGAAGAATGAAATTCTGGGTATAATATTTACAGCAAATAAAGATATTTATTTTTCTTCTTAACCCGTAATTCAATAAATTGAAATGGTAAAAATCTAAAATCCACACTTGAAAGAAACTTTAAAATGTCTATTTTCAGTGGGAAAAATTTATAAAAAAGCTTGCATGAAAGATGATATCCTTATCTTTTCACAGCAAAGATGCAATTTATGCTTATTGCAATATTTTTGTTCCTTGACACAATCCATGCTTTGCACAATAGCTGCTAAGATCTAGACATGTATCTAGTAAGAATATAGTTCAAAATGAGACATTTCTTGCTATTTGTCTCCTGTAGCTTTATACCAGAATTGCCAGAACTTTTACGTTTAGCACAAGAAACCTTTCCCGCTTGTAGTTTCAGCAGCAAGGGAAATAATTTTGTGGAAAAAACATGAAGAATACGAGGACCTGAGTCATTATTTCCTTTTACGATTGTTAATTAAAATACAACATAATATCTTGCATACTGAGGTCTGAACTGAGTTTCTAAGGAGATGATTCGTTATCGCGATTTAATCTATGTAAAAAAGTACTTCATTTCTTCTTCTTCCTTATCCTGTTTTTCATTTGTGGTGTCTTCTCTCTTTTTAGCTTGCGGAGGTGCTGACCTAAAGTTCAGTTTCCTTCCTTGCTTTTTCTTTGGTTCAGCTTGCGCTCTCTCCAATGCCCTGCGGAGTCTTTCCTCCTGGTGTCTCTTTTGCGCTTCAAGTTTTTCCTCTCTTAATCTTAAGCGTCGTTCCTTTTCTTTAGCTTTCTCAGCGAGTTCAACCTTGTCTTGAGGAAGCATTTCAATAATCTCAAACAGTTCCTCTAAACGGTTTTCAATATTTGTAAGCATTTGAAGGGTGCTTATATTTGCTTCGTTGTCACCAATGCAATTTCGGTAGACGTCTCCAACTTTCCTGTCAAGTTCAGCCAGCATCTTTTCCTGGTCCTCCGCTTTGAATTCTCCATAAGAAAACATCTTTGACTTCATCTTCAACTCTGCAGCTTTTTCTTGCTCATCTTTGGTAGCTTGCTTGAGCTGACGGATTTGCTGCTTCAAAGCGTCGGTCTCTTTATTCATCTTATCCTGAGTCTGCTGGATTGTTTTTCTCATGTCCTCTAGCGCCTCTTCCGTTTCCTGACTGTTCTGAATCAAGGATAAATTCTGCTCTTCCAATTCCGTGAAAATATCAAGAAGCTGCAGTGGATCTCTGAAAAATAGTTCAACATCGTCATCGCTGTCTTCATCATCTGATACCATATCTACTGAAATGACAGAGCGGCTATCTTCACTGTCATGATGCGAGCTCTTCCTACGGCCTGATGACATCGATGCCTTTGATCTGCTCTCTTTCCTTCTTGCAGTCCCTCTGCTAGGCTTCTCGTGTAGAGAAGAACTCCCTACTGAAGTGCGCCTACCTCTGCCAATACTGGATTGGCTTTTTTCTCGTTCCTTGGAGATTCTATCTCTTTCTTTCATTTTGGCTGTTTTTTGCCTTTTTCTCTCTTCTTTCCATTCTTGTGGTGCCAGTGCATCCAGGAACTTCTTATAAAGCATGTATTCTTTTAAAGTGTCTTCATTTTTGGATATCTCGCTTTTGATCGACATCATCTGCGCGTTTATTCTTTTAATCTCAGCAACCTTCTCCAGTTTCGCTTTTGTTTCCACTTCTGCATTTTTAATAGCATCTACAGCCAGCTTATCATTTTCTTTCAAAAACTCATCAAACATGGCAGCGTCCTCCTCTAAGTATTGCTCGGCCATTTCTAACTTCTTTTCTTCTGCTTGCGCGATCTCTTCTAGTTTTCTCATTTCGTCTCTTTTCACGCCCAATGAGTACTGTACAAGAAACATCTCCCGTTTCTTTGAAATAAATTCTGCCAAATTCTCCTTCTCGATATTCCTGTCTCTTGTAGTCGTTAACACAAATTGCGGATCCTCTTTGACGGTCCAAACTCCGTCTTTCTCCTTCTCCTCATCAATAGATACGTCATCCTCTATATCTGCAGCCGGTTTAATCATAGATTTTGTCCGGGCATTGACACGTGATGTGTACGTTGTTTTCTGGTGAACCTTCAGTTCACGCTGTGTTTCTCTTTCCTTTTTCTTTTTCTGCTTTTCTTTGTCTCTCAGCATCAATATATCATGGTCTGCAGGCATCTTGAAGGGATTGACATCCTTCTTAACAAATGGTTCGCTGTCTCCATTTAGCAAAGATAAAGCTGAGTGCTTACTCAGAGACTTCTCAGATCTTGGAAATGTCACTTGTCCAGACTGACGTGAAACTGAAGTTCCAATTGGTGAAAGCGATTTTGTTGCAACTGACTGCACCTTGGAAATTGTTGAAGGTCGCGACATTATTGTTCTAGCAAACTAAAACAAAAAACAAATAGCTGTTAGAAGTATAGATCATGTTAGCATAATGTGAAGAGGTAGTTAAATGATAACTGTAAATTCATTGAAAGAAGTGAAGTGGAAAAAGACAAAGAGGAGAAGACCTTTAATTTCTTGTTTTGTCAGCTGGAAAGTTCAGTTAAGGGCCTTACAAAGGGTACTCAAACATGTGCAACCTTAAGCACAAGCCCATTGCTAAAGGGGAGCCTACTTTGTTGGCAAATGGGACTTGGAAACCCCCTTAAAGGAGAACTGACACGCAAATATAAGTTTGGCTAAAACGGTAGTTTGTGACAAGCAAATTCCGGGATCGAAAAAATTTTTTAAATCACAGTTGCCGTTTTTGAAATACAGGCGTTTTAAGTTGAGAAACGACAATTGTTCCGACAACTTGAGACTCGAGGCGAAAATCGTCACGAGTGGGCGATCATCTTTGACGTCACAAGTGACATATTCTCAGCACGTATTGTTTTTCTCTATAGAAACCTTTAAGAAAATGCTGCGGACAAATGTTTATTTTGTGCATCTGAAAGAAGCTAATTTTGCATTTTTGACACATAATTGACTTTTTCAATGGTTCGGGACTCTGAATCCGAGTTTTATTACACTGATTTCGAAACAAATGGAGCGTTTCAGCCGTCTGAGTTTTTGCTACCAACCAGCGCTGCCGCTTGGGCAGACAGTCGTTCCATGGCTCAACAGTGACGATATTATGAACAAAGAACAGACTGGAAGTACAAACTGATATGGAGTTTCTATTAAAAACATTGCTATTGCCACAATCTAAATGGGATCAGGTATCGTAAAACTAGAATTTCATTTCAGATTGAGGGGTCTTTGTCCAGACTGCTTTGTCTGTATGGCCTAATTCGCTGAAATGCCTATGATGCCCTGAACGGAACTGCAAGTTATTCGTTATCAATATAGCATTCTATGATTGTTTTTCCATGTTTCAAACTCGTTAACTGTATCGTGATATTAAATAGTAAAGGCGGGTTGAAAGTCGCACTTGTCCGGATTGTATGCCATTTTCACCGGGTGTGAAGGGTTTCGGGAATTACCTTTAAGGCTGTTGAAAAATCTGGATCTACGAAATAGGCTCTTAGCTCTTATTCAAAGAACTTGATTTCTTAGTCGATGCTGTTTAGCTGTCATAGGAATATCAACTGACGCATTATCTTCTTTTGCAAATAATTTTGACTTGGGTAGGGGATGGTCTTTTTCAAGACTAGGTTATTTTCTAGTATCTCAACCTCTGTTAAAATACGATAATCAAGTTCAGTGAAATTATTATTTAGTCACACTCGCAGCCAGGGGCGGATCCAGCGTCTGCGTTTGGGGAGGGCCATTTATGAAAGAAGAGGAGGCCTGCGAAAATTTCACAGACACGCCCTTCAAAGTCTCACCGAACGCGGGAAACGCCCCTTTCTATCAAAAAATTTCATAAGAAGGTACACTCTCAGAACACTGAAAATTAAGAAACTTCATTGCTGCGAGAAACTTCCAAGCGAAGTAAAGGCTAAAATACATGATGAAAAATTGATGAACTTTGGCTAATCGTGTAAACACGCGCTTCTTTAGTTAAACTGATGAAAAACGGATATAGAAATAACTTTGGGGAAAACTGACATAAAAAACTGATCGTGTATTTCAGCCTTTACAAATATTCATATTGAATATTTGGTCAGCAGCTTTCGCGCTTGACTTGGGAGGGGAACTATGACGCATCAGAGTTCGTGAATGACATTATAATTCCTGTGTTCAAGAAGCCGGCATAAGACACGTACCCTTAAGATGAAAAAAAGATTTAGAAAATGAGCAAAAGTCCCCACGTATTTGGTGCGTATAATTTGAATGGTAAATTTTCAAAATGGGTAGTCACCAAAAATTCATCGCAGCATAACAGGCAAAGCTGAGTAGTTATAGGTACTGTTTTGCTTTTGTTGGAAATAGTGACGCTTTTTGGGTATCACAATCGCAATAACACGATGAACAATGTTTGAACTGTAACCCATTTTAGCCATAACTTTCTCAACCATTAACGTTTGCAGACGTCATTCATTCATGATCGCAGTCATGATTTGTGTTAAACCATAGTCCATATGAGCCGCGAGATCCGGTCACATCTAATTTTGCATTGAACTATTGTTTTAGGCTTATCATAATTCTTGTGTTACACATCCACTTGCAACTTATTGCCTCACTGAAAGCGAGAGAATAAAGCCGACTGGAGGTTTGATTAAAATGTCTGGTCCGCCAAAGAAATCAAGAACTCTTGAATCATTCTTCTCAAAAAGTAGCCGCACCAGTTCAGTTGGAGATAACCCTGAAATCTCTAAAACATGTGAAACTACCACTTGCCAAGAATTTGAATCAAAATCTACTGGTGAAGAATTCGACACACAAAGCCAAGTTGCGGTAGTCCAGGATTGTCCTGAAGAGGAAACACACCCAGACCTCTGTTGTATGGCGACACAAGTAAATGTTGCAATATCTGATAGATATGACATTGGTAGAGCTATAATGAAAACAAAATGAGGAGAACAGCTGACAGATAACGAAAGGGAAGCATATTTATCGAAGAGGTGGGTGCCGCAGAGAAGGGATGAATATCCATTTTCTGAAAAGAAAAAACCAAAGAATCAGCTCATGGTTGGTATGTCCTCGACAACGAAGCGTTTTCTGGGTGAAAATCACTTGAAAACCTTCCCCTGGCTAGCTGTCAGCAGAGAGCCAAAATGTTGCGGTGCTTGGTGTGTTTATTGCGTTTTATTCAAGACGTGCGAGAGTGGAGGTGGAAGAGGTGCACAATACGGAGGTGGAGCAGGCCAGTCAATGGGCAAACTTGTTAACAAGCCTCTTGTAAACTTTTCAGACTTGACAGGGAAAAATGGAGCCCTCACAAGTCACCAAGAAACATCTTTTCATAAGACATGTGCCATAAAGTACACGGAGTTCTTGAGCCGTGCAACACCTGGGAGTGAGAAGGACGTTCGATCAATAATGAACATTGAAAGGCAGAAAGAGATTGAAAGAAACAGGACTGCGCTGGTTCCCATCATCGACACCCTTCTAACATGCGCCAGGCAAAATATTGCGCTTAGAGGCCATCGTGATGATGGACCAGTAGATTCAACTGGGATGGAACCCAAGCACAATGATGGAAACTTCAGGGCATTGCTGCGATTGAGAGTACGGGGAGGAGATACAAACTTGAAAGATCACTTGAAATCTTGCAAACGCAATGCTTCTTTGGTAAGCAAAACGATACAAAACGAGCTAATTGCCTGTGCAGGAAATATTGTCAAAGAGGACATAGTAAGAGATGTAAAAATTGCAAAATTCTGGACAATAATGGCCGACGAAACCCAAGATTGTGCGAAACGAGAACAGTTGGTCATTGCAATTCGTTACGTTGACACAAAAAATGTGCCAAAAATTATCAAAGAAGAACCGGTCGCAATTTTAGACCTGATTGCAGACATAAAAAGCAGTGACCAATCAGATGAAACAGAGCACAATGAAATTAAGCTATGTGGCAAGGCAATAGGGGAGACTCTACTCCGCCATATAAGTGAGCTTGGGTTGGATTTGCAGTACCTCGTTGGTCAAGGATATGATGGTGCTGCATCGATGTCCAGTGAGCGAGTTGGTGTTTGCTCCTTTATCAAATCTGCTGCGCCACTCGCTGACTACTTCCACTGCTGCATGCACGCGCTAAATCTAAGTTGTTCTCGAGCCGCAAAGATACCAGCAATCAGACATTGCATGGATGACATCAAAGATATCAACAATTTCTTCAAGCATGCGAAAAGAAACAGCTATTTGCAAGCAGTCATAGCACGAGAATCAATTGAAGAGCTTCAGCGACGGCAGTTGGTGACCCTCTGTGAAACAAGATTTGTCGAAAGTCATGAATCAGTTTTGGTTGCACGACAGCTTTTGCCTTACATCGTTGTGTGCTTGGAGGAAATGCTCGCTTGGGACTCATTAGATACAAGAAAAGATGCCAGGAGATTGTTAAAAAGTTTGCAAGACCCTCAGTTCCTTGTAGCGCTAGTATTGGCCGAGAAAGTGTCTGCTGTACTTCGCCCAGTGTCCCGTTCTTTGCAACAAATTGGTAGCGATCTTGTGAAAGCAATGTCGACGATTTCTGCGACACAGTCAAAGCTTTACACGTGGCGTAAAGGTGAAGAAAATGAGTTTGCTTCGATGTTTGAAGAGGCAATGCTTCTTGGCGAAAATATTGGAGTGACCAGAGAAGAGATGCACGCAATTCCTCGAGCAGTCAGTCAATCCAGGTTCAGATCAAATGCAGGTGAAGCCAATCAAAAAGCCATTGATTATTATCGTATCAATGTGTTTTTACCTCTTCTTGATGAAGTGGCTGGAGATATGAAAGCAAGATTTGGTCCCCATCAGCAGAAGATTGCGACGCTTACAAGAATTCTGCCTTGTTTCGTCAAAGAATCAACTTGGCAAGATATTTTGCCTGCAGCACTAAAATACGGAGTCTTTTTAGACCCCTTGTCCATTGTTGAAGGAGAGTATGAAATTTGGAAGCAGCAATGGCTGTCACGTGGAACAAGTACAGTAGCAAATACCGCTATCGGCGCTTTAGGCGACTGCCAAGGTGATGTATTTCCTAATTTGCATACATTACTCAACATTCTCACTGTGCTACCGGTGACAACAGCAGAACCCGAACGACTATTTTCTAAACTGAATAGTACCCTGACAGCAATTCGGTCAACAATGTCTGAGGAGAGATTAGAATCCCTACTTCTTCTGCAAGTTCACCGTGACAGAACACCAACGAGCGATAAACTCATTGACTCATTCGCAGCATTAAAATCAAGACGAATCCCATTAAAGCTGTAAGTAGTTAAAAGATGGACAAAATGACGTTGCTATTATATCGCAATACTCAACATTGAAACACACCACTTCTCGCGCAAAATGAGCTCGCATGTAGCTTTTCGTTTCAAAGGCAAAATCTCCGATAACGTTTTTGCTACGATATAGCTACTTCCTTTTCAAATTCTTTTCTGAATATATTGACATCAGTTGGGATCACTGATTTCCACAAAATTACTCAATCAAAGCTCTCATGTTTCTATGCTCGCAGTTAGTGTTCTCATGTAATGTAATAAGTAATTTTGGTTTGTTAGTTATATAAACAACTAGTTTCTTGTTATGCAAAAACTTTTACCTTATCAATTTACATGTTTAGTTAATGTATTTACTGTCTTTTCATTCAAAGTTTCTCGTTGTCGAATCGTTTGGGGGGGGCCATGGCCCCCCCGGCCCCCCCTGTAGATCCGCCAATGCTCGCAGCTCCCGTCAACCAAGGTTTTTTCTTGAATTCATATTTCTGCACCCAAAGCAGGTTGCAGGATCGCTTTTACCGCTGTCTCCACTAGATTTCGTTTGTCTTTTGGCTATTGCTTCAACCCACAACCCCCCCCCCACCCCCATGTTGCGATTTTATTTCTTATTGTAAAAATAAAAACTTTGAGGAAACGGTATCAGTTTTCAAACAAAGTCGACTCCTTTTTTCACAAGCTCAGAGGTTCTTTCAATGTTTCAAAGCATGCTGGTTCGATATCATGGCATAAAAATAAATTTTATGTGGATATTAGCGTCTTAGCAGACATGTAGCTAGGATTTTCTAGCTTCTATATACTTATAAATGAAATGTCTGACAATTTTTTGTCTTTTCGCCGCGGACTATTTTTAATAAAACACGAAACTTCATTGGTACTTTCACCGTTGCGGTGAAAGCCTTTACAACGGCATTGTTAACATGTCACTTGTGACGTCAACCGAGAATTTTAACAACTCCTGGCGATAATCTTGTTTCCGCTTCGGGAAATTCCCGAGTCCTGGCTGTGACGTAATTGACGGATAAAAGTGCAAATATCAGAAAAACGGTGAATCTAAGAAGAAAACTTTTTCCAGATTTTAAATCAGCGACAAATTTTGCATAGAATAAGCTAAAGTTATTTTTGCGTGTCAGTTCTCCTTTAAGCACAATAGCTAGCGACGGGCTTGCTTAGGCATGTGGCGGGATAAAATATTTTTGAACAAGAACTGACAGTTTTGAAAGTGACCTGAATATCTTAGGTAAAGTCTAAATGTTGCCCAGAAGATATCAGGGCAGGCGAAACCGGGTGTCTGGGGGCATGGCCCTTCAACGTTTCTGCAAAATGTTTAGGAAAAAGTAGAAAAATGCAGTCTACTTTTCGATAAGTTATTGAGCTTAATATTTCTTTAAATATGATCTTGCCTGACAACCACGTAGCGGTAGATGTTGGCAAACTCGAGCAAGAACCATACCTGAAGGGAGCAAGCTTAAAAACAAGAACACAGATATATAACAAACAAATATATTTGGACTAAATTAAGGTCACGGAATTATAATTATGCCAAATTTTCAAAATACAATTCGGAAAAACTGTGGCCAGGGGGGGGGCAAAGTCTTGTCAAAATTTTCACTTGGGGGGACACAGCCCCCCATGTCCCCTCTGCACCTATGTGGCTGCCTTGCCAGGTCTTTACCATTTGAATATCCAGAAGACTAGAACATGAGAATTTGATCGAAGATACGTTGCACTATACAAGCAGCATCACAAAAATTGTCGCTTAAACTATTGTTGATCTTGGAAATGCGTGCTTGGCTTAGGAAATAGATCGCGAAGCCAGATGAGACAAATTTGGAGCCAAAAACAGAATAACTTGGTGCCAGAGATTTTTCTTTTCCTATTGCCTGAACCTAGCTACCAAGTCTATTTGTTAACGGACAAACTCATTACAGAAAGAGAGAACATCAGCAGTTGAGTGCATGGAAACTTGAAGTAAGAAAGTTTTTGAGAAAAAGAGAAAAGAAGATATGACAGATTTGTTTTCTGAAAGTTTCATCAAGAAAGCTTCAGGGCAAGGTTTTGGTTTCAGCTCTTTTCCTACTTTTGTCATAACCCCCCACTTTTTTCAGCCCAAGGGGAAGCCCTGCCGAGAAATACTAAATACAAAACTGTGACCGAATATTTCATGCTTAAGGTGTATTCAAATAAGGGCAAAGCATTACTGTACTTTGTAATTCTAGATGCAATGATAAATTTTATCATAAATTGGTTTGAGCTGCCCAGTTGGAAACTATTTTCAAAAGCTTTTATTAGAAGCATTTTAATCAGAAAAAGATTTACAATCAAATATTACATAACATAAGACTTATTCATAACAAAAGGAAACTTATATCATGTCTTTTCATAAGTTTGCCATGCAATTACAAGAAAGTCCAGCCTATAGGAAACCCTAAATTGAATTTCATGATTTTGGAAGTAAACAGGAGGCAGAAACTAAAGAAAACAGGTTGGCAAAAACTGACTCCTATTACGAAGAGCAAGACTACTTTGGCAATAGTCTAGAGCAACTTTTGGAATTTTTGGTTGAAAAGGGTATCCCTTTCTGTAGCTTTCAATCAAAATATGCACAAAATAAAGGTAGAATATAATTGTTAGCATATACATCTCTTTATTTCAAGATACACCTCATGAACTTGTAATTATGCATGAAGCTTCCATATTTGCAGCCTAAAAATATGCATATGCACTACAGAGTATAATGGCCCTTGGGCTATAAAATACACAGGCCATTGTGCAGGAGTAGTGGTGCAGGGGCATGGTTGAAAAAACAATAAATCAAATGGCAAACAACAGAATAAAAGGCTTTCCAAAATATATTTTGTCTTCATTAATTTTTCCTGCAATCGGAAGCCAGAAATTCTAACAGTGGAATTTTCACAGGGAACATTGCCAGATAAACAAATAATGTGTGAGAATCTATGGCAGATTCTTAATAATGCGCAGGTGGAATGAAGGATAACAATTATTTTGTGGGGAACCAAACTTTACAATCTGGTTGCTGTCCCAAAAGGTAGATGCTAACAAATGCAGTTTTTCCAGCCTTGTCTATAAAAGGTTGGGTTGATGTAGCTATCATAATTGCTTTTGGCTGTGTAATCCTCTCATAACTCAAGCAGCAAATTACGACATTTCATGTTGTCCGCTCGAGGATCTGTTGTGAAACTGTTGCAGTTACCATCTTTGATTTATCCTTTCTCTATACTCTAACCTTCTTTTCCTAGCTGCCGCCCATTTACCCTGGCCTTTATATTTTACTCCTGCATACCCATGCTAATTCATTAGTTTATTATTATTTTTTCAATAACTTGGCTTTTATTTACAATGTATGATACATTGAATTTACGTTCGAGAAGGCCTAACTAAATCAAGTGAAATAGAAATTGGCATGAATTCTACTTACCTGGCAGAGAAAGCAAATAAAATCTTTCGTAATAAGGACCACTTTATTAAGGTCGGACTTGATTGACGTAAATACTGTGCATGTAGGCAACGGATCTCCAAGAAAACAGGCTCAACGTTTCTGTTGCCCTCTAATCTGAACTCTACAATCATCGATTCGCTGTCCCTAAGCAACAAGGAATCAATGTTTAAGCGAGGCAAAAATAGCCTCGAAATGATTTTCTGCAGTGGATGTCAATGGAGGATGTCACTGGATGGAGATCACTAATCACTGATTTTTCCCAGGTCAGTGATGGAGAAATGTGCTTTGTCGGAGACAACCCCCCTCGCCTTTCTGCAGCGACTGTAATTTATTACAAATCTCTATTATTTGTTTTAGGCCTCTAACAGCAAATTCGCCAGTTAATCAATAACTTTATCTTCACGACTATGTATGTATATACTATTATATAATTTCGATATCTGGATTCGATCTGGATACACTTCTGTTACAACTGCAGTCGCAATGGACGCCATTATGACTAGGGAGTTGCAATAATTTTCTCCTGGTAGTGTAAATTAAAGGCCTTAAGATTAATACTAAGACAAGCGACCAACAAGGCAGGTCCTAACCTTTCAAACTGTCATCGAATTTTGATGATAATAGGTGTTTTCTCTTCAAAAATGTCAAAACCGTGAGGCAGTTTTTTACTGCAATTCTCATTTTTTTACTGCCGCTAATTTTTGCGGCTTAGGTCTCTAGGTACAAAATGAAGGTGTGTATCCATTATTCGGTATTTTGTAAAAATAAGTAGGCCTATTAACTAAGTGTACCTGTCAATTTACCAACTCGAGCGTACAAGTGAGCATTAGCTCTAAGGATATAAAAATCATGTTCGTATTGTTTTTTTCCTTGCACATGTGAAGACCACTTGACGTTCGATGGCTGACGAGCAACATAGTCTGTAGCATTACCACAAACCCTCATTCAGCTATAAAATCCTTATTGCTTAGATAGAACAAATAAAAACTAAATATATATTTCTCATCCCAGTATTGTGCAATTTCCAAATGAAGATAAAACTTGCTTTCTTGCTTGGAAGTAATCTAGGGTCCCGAATGAGAGAGAAAATAAATTTTTTCAAGTAAGAAATTAGCTGTCTCACTCAAATGTAAAACATATTGAGTATCAATCTAACCAGGCAGACGATGCTATAGAATTTCGGGCTTGTAGAAGGCTTTAAGAAAGTATATAGTCCGACTACGCCTTAATTTCATGATTCAATATCAAATAGATTCAAAACAGAGCTACTAATGAATTTTACATAAAGAAAATATTTCATTTTCGTTTCGCCAAAAAGCTCATTACAGCGTTCATACACTCTTCCGATAGCCAACGTTCTTCAAGTCTCAAACATTCTCTTTCATTGGCCTCCTTTAGATCTTTCACGTCTATTCCACGCATAAGAGCTTTCGAATATGTAAGAGACTATGGAAAGAACAGAAAAATGTAAAAAAAGATCAGACGTATACATGTTGACCAGTAAGAGTAACTCATAGGTTAAAATGTAAAAAAAAGATCAGAAGCATAGATGTTGACCAGTAAGAATGACTCTTGGTTATCACGGGGTTATATTATACCCTATGCGTCGGTTCAAACACATGTAAAATGTAAGTTCAACTTCAAGAGCTTAGCAATGCACGCTCAATGGTTACATAGTTAAGCTGCAACATAATCAATTATGTAAACAAACTTTTAAAATAGAAGTACCAGGGATTAACCCATTATTGATACAACATAGCATTTTACTTTTCATTAGTAATATAAAAAAGGGTTAAAGACATAATGCTCTAGGGAAATGTTTGTTGATAGCAGAGCATGGGAACGAGCAAATTCAATGTACTACACATAAGCTAAAGTTGCATAGTTTAAGCTAGATAAGATACAAGTTCTGTGACGGCAGAAATTCGCTCTGTCCATTACGGAAATAACTTCAGTTTTGTGATGCATTTTACCCTACTCAAGGACAGGAACAATCAATATATTTCAAAATTCTATTCAGTAATTGGTTTTTTCATGGATTCTCAAGAATAGCTTGTAAGGAACTCGTTAAGTCATTGAGTGAGTAGCGTTGCTTTTTTGGCGCAGGAAGATGGTCCTAAATGGAGAGATGACGATACTATATGCGCATGATGGACGAGAAGATCAGTTCTATTGCCAGACGGTGTGAGTTAGCTCATACTTATATCAAATTCCTCAAACATTTTCAACCACCGCAACAGTATCCAACTGCAGACCTTGTTCTTGGCTTTTAATTAGGACAAAAACCTCGCACACTTATTATTAGTCCCGGTACTTTTTCAAAAACCTAATACAAACATTATAAATAAATTGAACATCCGCTTGCATTTCCAACCAAACTATAGAATCTTCAAAAATCCTTTATGATAAATAATTAATCAGCAAGATAAAATACATATACAAAATATCCTTTTTGTCGCCGCACCAACAACATAAATTTTAAATAACCACATTAAACTTCCAGTAAACACCCTAGTGCAAATGGCAGTGTCAAAATTCAAGTGACTTTCTGTTGAAAAGTGGGCGTGGGGAGAGGCATGGCTCTCTCCTTTTTAGGCGGTCGCTCTATTTGATGCGATACAGAAAGCTTACTTACTTTTGGAGGAAGGGTAGACATTTCTGTGATTCTTTTCTGCACCTCACGGTTGAATTCTGATTCAAGGAAAACATCAGTGACTAGACCTCGATCATAGGCTTGCTGTGCAGTCAGTTTCTTCCCCATGAGGAGCACTTCATTCGCCTAAAAGAGAATTCAAAGCCTCCCACTTAAAGACGAAAAACAGTGACAGTCGTGTCTTTGAGGAAATATTTAAGGCCTCTCTAGGGCACGGTTCATAACGAATAGAGCTGTAAGCAGGATAGGGAAGCTTTTTAGGGAAAATAAGCAAACTCTCATTCTGATCTTTTATATTTCTATTAAAATCAAATATAATTAATTGTCAGAAAAACACTTAATGTCACAAAATTCTTGCTTTCATTCAGTAAGATTTCTCAAACTCTCCATTAAAATTTCATCTCCCAATAAAACCTCTTGCCTTCGAACTAGTTTAAGTAAGCTGAAAATTCATATCATTCCATGAATGAAAATTTCTTCGAAAATATACCTTGGCGTATCCCATGATTCTTGGGAAGGTTAATGAAGAGCAGCCTTCTGGACTTTGTCCAAGAGACATAAAGGGAGTGTGGAAAGTGGCACTATCTGATGCATAAACTAAATCACAGAGACCAAGAACTGTCACAGCGATGCCAACAGCTGGACCGTTAACCGCAGCTATAAGTGGCTTTGAAAAGTCAATGTAGGAATTGGTATATTTCCTGGAAACGGAAAATGGAACAAAAATTAGTACATCACGAAAGAAGAGACTGGAACATTGTTGCTTCTTTGTAAAACTGTCAAAATCGACGCTACTGAATTTTTCAATTGTTACAACAAAATTTCTCTTTTAAAATTACACGAAATAAGATCGTTACGTGTGTGAAGCAACGAACGAATGACATAGGAAGAAGTAGAACAACAATACATGAAGTGTATTATTCAAAATAACAATGAGGAATTTGATGCAGGCAATGATACCTACATTAACACGTCCCTGGCATCTCTTGCCATTTTCTGCGGTCCTTCAGGAGGAATATTAGTGAAATTGCTCAAGTCGTTTCCACTGCAGTAGAAATCACCTTCTCCAGTAATGACAGCAAGTTTGACGCTTGCATCTTTGTCAGCTTCTTCCAAAGCCTCCATTATTTCTAAATACATCTGCAGGAGAGTAGATAGAACATTAATTGCTTTATCATATGAACCATTTGATGAAAACTTAATTACTAATAATAAAGAGTACTATAAAAGGTATCAAGAATGTGCTTAGAAAACTGACCATACACAGGGCACATATACAAGATAGACTTACGAAGATCACTGTTTACCGGTCTTTAACATAGCAATCAAAGCCATGTAGACAGAACTGCAAAAGCTTTTGCGTTTAAAACAAGGCAGTTCTAAGCTGCAACACCAAAAGAGTTCATATAAGTTTGTTAAATAGGGAGTAGCCGTTATTATTGAGCGCCGCAATCGAATTTTTTAATATCTCGATATTACGAGCTTGGACAAACATATCTCTAAATCAGGCGTTTTAAGATGCAAGCTGCAAAAAAAGAATTCACAGAGGAAACAATATGGAATGGTTGGTGTAGACAAGAAATTCAATCCGCAAAGAAGTGGGTGCGGCTTAAAATCTATCCGTAGCATCAACAGCTAAATTGATCACCTTCCAAGTAATTGCATTCTTCTTCTTTGGTCGATTTTTCTTTATTGTGTATATGCCATTTTCGTTAGTAACAACTATATCCTCAAATCTAGGCTTCTCCGCTTCACTTTCGACTCCCGCATCTGAATCAGCTGGAGCTTCAGGACCTAAAGAAGGAATTCAATTGAGGTACAAAGGCATTCATCGCTTAACCTCTCATTGATAACGCCTGATTCTGAACTATGGTTGCTGGTTCAATACGCCGACCACCCTATTTCTTCAAGAGATCGCCGCTTTTCTACAAATATTTTTAACGCTCGAGACATTGAAGCTCACAAGCAAACATTTTCATTGAATTAACATCCTTTGATTAAGATGATTCTTAATCTGAGATTTGGAATCAAGATGGATCTTCACCAGGAATTCCTTGTTCGAAATTCTAACTCAGAACTGATAACTGTCGATAACTGTCGATGCGAAAAATGTCAAAGCAACTTTAATGATCAGAGCGTGTGCTAGCGCATGCCAAAATGGAATGGTGCCATGTTACACAAAGTGCTTAATCATAAAAAATTTTCATATTTAGTTTACTTTACTTTATAAGATTCTTGTTAACGATTTTTTTAAGTGCCGTTCATAGCCAGAACCAGATATAATCATAGCCAGTCATGTCTATTTTAATCAGGGGCGGCACAAATACTGTATTTTGTTGTCGTTTTGAACAGTGATATAATAAAGAGTCTTTCCAGTGAAGAAGGCGATAATTTTGAATCGAGCTGAGTACAGGGAATAAATGTTCCTCTGGCTAAAGCTAAAACTATTTAGAGATAACCACCCTGAAACAGAATCTCCACAGACTGCTGAAATCGGCGAGTGCCTTCTCTAGTGTGTTATCAAATGTGCTAGCAAAGACTTTTTATAGGAAGAAATACTTCTAATAAGGCTGTTTGCTTATATGTTGCAAATCAGAAACAAGAAAATTCAACTTGGGATACATAGGAAGAGTTTTACCGCTGTCGCTTTAAATTACTCTAGTCCTACTGTTGGAGCGAAACCTCCAAACCCACAAAGAAAATTCTATGTGCTTGACCAATTGATTATCCATTCTTGCTAACCCATTATTACAGTTATTTTATATAGTGTAAAGTTCAACTTTAAGAATCAGATATGTGATTGATAACGTTTTATAACATTTGATTCTACTCCTTGTGATATTTCTATAAACCAAGTTGCAAACGAATTCCTTTGAATTTCCTACGCTAGAAACACTTTCTTTGCATATCAGGATGGAACAAACTGTAAAAAAAGCATGCCATGGGAAGCATGCCATCTTTTTGTGGAATTTCTAGCAATATTCTTTGGTAAAGGTTGACTAAATGCAATGCTGGTATCAATTTTTTGGGGTTATTAAATAATAATGTCTTTTTAACGTAGCAATTTCGTGTTATAAATACAACATATATTGAAGATACATTGCTATATGCATGGGACGTCTTAAATACTACTGAGACTCCTTTATCCAAGTATCACATCAACAAGTCTTAAAATTGGCCTACTCCCCTCTTTCATAATGGTATCAATAATGTGTGAGCCTTTAGATACCACTTGTTATGTATCAGGTTAAAGAGTCAAGAAGACAATCGAATTCTTCCTAACCAGGTATGACAAGACAAAGAAAGGCAACAAAAATAAACGTTGGATGCCTTGCAGCTCATGATCAAATTTAAAAAGGACTGAAATAAATAGCATCAGCTAGTTCAAAACCAAGTCTTTAAATAAATGTCACAAAGTTTGACTGAATTCTTCACATGTCACAATCAAATATTGTTAGGTTGAGTCACCTAGAATGAAAATATTCTTGCGTAAATTGACCTTTGTCATATCATTGATAGCTCATTTTTTCAGAATTTCAGTACTTCAAATATATAGTTTGTGTGACATATAAAAAGCAAATGGCTTTGAACTACCTACATGCATTATTTTCAGCAAACAAAAAATAAAACTACTTTCTACCCAGATGGCTATCCAAATTCAGTTTAAATGCCTATTAAAATGATTTTGAGAATAAACAATAGTTTAATACATATATATAGCTGGAAGAGATAAAACAACTGTCTTGGCTATAGCAAAGATATCAAGAGGTGCCTAGTAAATCCTTTACCAATTTAATTTAGCCATTCAGCTAGTAGAATAATAATTGGTTTTTGATGCTGCAATCTCTGGCTACTCTAAACAAAGCCTGTTTTTCAGAATGAGTAACACCAATCTTAAAACAGAATTATTTTGAAGGGGACAGTCAAAATTCTTACACCCCCAAAGGTAGGGCTTTTCCCTCAAACCAACATCAGGCAACATTCAGGAGAACCTTCAGACTAGTTGGGAAACACTAGTTTCCTTTAGTATACGGGCTGTGCTTCCTTGGATGAAACCTTTCTGTGTGACAAATTATATTTACAACCTACACCAACTACATTGGTTAAAATAGTGATCTATGCATCACAGGAAAAGCAGGCACTTTTCTAGCCTGGGCCCTTTAGCAAAAAACAAAACAACAAAATTCAAAAGAAATATTAAAAAGTCTAAATATGTAAAAAAGTGTGAATCTATCAGCAACAGAAGCATTAACATCAGAATAGTTGTCTCTATTTGCTAAATAAAATTTCCAATATAATATAATGTAATATCCACCTAGTTAATTATAAGTAACTTAATTATTTGTGAAAAGAAAGTGCAAATGCAAGATATGCGGCCTGGTGGATTCTGTGAATCTTACAATGATCAAATTATAAATAATAGTCAGGAACAAAGAAACAAAATGAGGATGTAGTCAAATAGAATTTTAAAATAAAATAAATTTGAAAAATAAAATAATACTCCTTTTAGCCTAGCCATACAAACTACGTTTTACGTTTGTTATCATTTCCAATGAAATCACAAAATTTCTCACCTGCCAATTCAGCAACAAGTTCTATGTATTTCTTCTTGGCATCATCCTATGAAGATAATTTGAAAGCAAAAGGATTACTCATAGCATGTCAATCAAGAGTTGAAAGGTTAAAACTCATGATTAAAAGGCTCAAATAACAACATGTTGACTACTTAAAATAGATGAGCAGGTTAAAGGAAGCTTTGTATATTGAACAACATTTTGCACAAGATGCTGCATTCAGGGAAATAAAAACCTCAATGTTGATCAATCAATATACTGCTAGAATGAATGTTTGTTCAAAAACAATTAATGAAATTATGGCATTAAAAACCTATCTGAAATCTGAAAGAGAATCAAGCTTGGCTGAACAGGTAATCCATGATAGGGATCAGTAAAAGTGCAGGCCTCTGTATTTTAAAACAGGTGATTTGCCATTGCACAGGCAAAATAATTGGCATGGGCCAATGAGTTGTTTGGCAAGCAAGATACAGCCAAAAGTTGGTTCTCAGGCAAGAGACAAGACAAAAAGAAACAGCAAATACCAAATTGCAGGGTTGGTCAAGTTGCTTGAAAATAGAAGTATGATAGCCTGACCTATCCTTTTTGCATCATCTCTTTTTTCATTTGTTTTTAAAATTTTCATTTACAAACTAAAGACAGTGATATAACCAGAAACCCAAAAATCAAAATTCCACTCAGATTTGCACTTTTGGGCCTCCTCCACCTTAATTTCAAACAAATCAAAATGAGTCAGTTTTGGTCCTGCATTCACATTGCTCCACTGCAAAAATGGGTATATATAATTGAAAATGCACTTTGAAAATTGCCATACATGAAAGTGGAAGAAAATGATAACCCCGATAAGCAACATAAATACTGCAGGTCATTTTGAAAAATCAATGACATAGTCAGGCCTCTTTGTTTTAACACGGGCGATCGTCCTTGCCATCGCCCTCACCAAATATTGACGCGGGCTATTGACCGCCCTCGCAAAAACATGTATCGCCCGCAAGAGAAAGGTAAAGTTAGAGAGAAGTTAGCAACAAATATTACTATTGATGTTGTCACTATTATTCAATTCACATTTTCATGTGGCATCGTCAAGGATTTCACGCAAGGCCTTCTAGCAGAACGTCGTTTAGGACACAAATGCTACCAAAGTTTGGGATAGATATCCAGTGTTCAGGTTATTTTTAGCCAAAATTCCGGGGCTAAAAATTGTTAATAGGACCTTCATTCAAAGATGTTTTTACAAGACAACAGGTGAAGAATTCCACAAATCCTTAAAACTTTGTAAAAATTATGTATCCCGTGCATCATTTTCGAGAAAATCCCCGTCCGGCAAATGTGTATAACTCCGTCGTTTCATCCAGAAGTTGCCAACTTTCCGTAATTCTGGACAAGTTTTCTTCGAAGTCCATTCAACTTCAAAGTTCCAGAAGCCTTGATGACCCTTGCATCAAACGCCAGTTACTAATAGACGGGAACAATGAATATTGATAATAAGAAACAATGATAAGAGCTGGACCGTAATGGAAAGAAATGATATAATAAAAAGAGCTGTTGATATTCAATTGGAGAAAAAAAGGTAAGACTATTGAAGAGGAGCCTCTGAATGAGAGGCTTTGTCTTACTCCAAAAGAATCTGAAAACACAGATAAAATGCAATCAGGGAGGATGAAGGGGAGAATTTTTAAACCGAGTAGGAATCTGATTGTGATTCATACAATAAAGAAGAAAAAATTTGAACTTCTAGATGATGGTTTGATTGATTTCAAGTTTTTTCTTATGTTTTTACTCGGCTGGAAAACTTAACATATTTTCTTTCCGTTCTTCTCTAAAAAACGGTATTCCTGACTGAAGGGACAAGTTGTTAATGGAAACAAAGCATCATTTCCTCATTGTTGACATTATAAATCATTACATCAAATATTTTGGCTACCAACTGGGGGTAATGGCGTATTTAGAAAATCAAAGTTTAGTCAGTTGTGATTAGATAATACCTTAATTCCCCCTCAAGTCCTGAAGCACTTGGTTTGAAATGAAGTGTTGGAGGGGTGATCGCCCTTCTTCGCCAATTCACGCGGGCAGTTTATTGCTCTTGCAAAAAATTCTCCTTTTCTATTTCCTTTATCTATTTCCAAAAAATTTCCCATCTACAGACCTTTTCAATAAAGACAATCTTACCTGACTCAAATCTCCTAAGGAATCCCAAGCATTCCACTTAGCTTTCCCAACAAAGTCAAATGCACCAGGTTTTGGAGAGTTGCATTTTCCAACAGTGCTCTAAAGTAGATAGAAAGGTTTTAAAATTATCTTTATTTTTATAGTTTTTAGAGCTTTTTCATAAAGAGAAAATAATTAAATAGAGAGGAGGCAGTAAATACACTTACCTGACAAAAGTATTAGGGCAATCTTCTCAAAGCAAATGTGGTTAACCCTATGCTCAAGGAACAACATAGGAAATTGGTGGAACATAGCAAGATTGCTGGTTGAAATTTTTGATTGCAATTTTACCAAAATGTAGAAATAAACATAAAGTTAATACATTGTAAAAAAAAACTTTTTAGACAAAAACAACTTGCTTTATTTCATATTTTGTCAGATGGCCTCCAGAAATCTGGCAGCCGCCCTTTGCACTGAAACTCACTGAAATGATTTTCTTTGGATACAACAGTCTAAAAGAGCTCATTTTTGGTCTAGAAGATTGCACTTCTTGGATCTTTTTATGAAAACCAGTTTTTTTTAATTACATCAAGGCTTTGACTTTGATGGGGTTATTGAAAGACCATGATGTTATTGTTTTCGGAAATTTTTGTCACAATTGCAGCATAACTAGGTTTATTGTTTTGCTTAAAAATAAATGGTCTTTGCAAAGAATCATTACTTGTTTTTGTACTTGCCTGGGGGCTTTCCATTAAAAAAATTGACAAAATGTTCAGCATTGATTGACTTCACACATATGCAAGCTTGTCGACGCCATTAGGTCTGCCTTGGCCAACCATTCTTTTAATTTTAGTCTGCTTTGTAAACTTATTGTTCTTTTAAATAACATGTGTTGTAGACTCGCTGCAACCAAACTTTGTTACAGTTTCAGCAAATAAATGACACGCTGGACCCAAATATTTTATTGCTTCTCATTCTCTTTCTGGTCACTTTTGTGTTTTCCGCATTGAAAATAAAACATTGATATTTTCCATTTCTCCCTGACATTTTGTTATCTTTCTGTCATAGAAAGGTAGGAAATTAATTGAATTTGTTAGGAATCGCGTTTTTGCTGACGCCATTTCTAAAATCCCGCCAAAACAGCAAGATCTGTTCAATCAATGTTAGAATACTAGTTTTGGAGCCGCCATTTTCGGATTCATCGTCCTAATACTTTTGTCAAAAATTTGCGAGAAAGCTTCAAATCTTCATCTTCTTGTAGAATATAATTTCCAGACTCAATAAAACATTTACCATACAATCTCGGGTGCACCACTGTTAAAATTCAATTTTAACTCCGACAGTTGATCACAATTGGAGGTGTGTCATACCTACCTCCACTGCCTGTACTCATGTGAATGCCCTATCTCAAAATCATATCGGCCTACAAGCCTAGCCTAATTAAGAAAAAAATCGAAAGGCTTGGCACATTCTAGGATAGTGCTAAAAAGCCTAGCCTAATTAAGAAAAAAATCGAAAGGCACTGGCACATTCTAGGATAGTGCTAGCACCGCATGAACAGTTGAATGTGAATGGACACTGCAGAAGTTCAAAGTTCAACTTTGGAGGGCCTAAGCTAACTGACCTGCTTGAACAGAGCGTAAATCTTCAGTTTTGTTTCATTGCCTGGATCTTCTTTGAGCGTGTTAAGCCTTTCCTTTGCTTTTTCAAAGTCATTTTGAAGCGTACTAGAGTATCTGAATACCCTAGCTTTAGAGACTACACAGCTGCGGCTGGGTTGAGATAGAAGTACGCGGCTAAAAAATCGTCCACAACTCGCAGCCATGTTTGCAAAATTGTAACGGTCAGAGCCCAGGGGGTTACTTTCATTACGGCCTAGCAGGGGGTCCAGTCAGGGTCTATGAGGGCCAAAGCTAAAATGTTAAAAAATTACCCTCAAGTACAGGCACCGCGGAGCAGGGGCGCTGGGGGGCTTTAGCCCCCTCTTTTTGCAAAAAATGTCATATATTAAGTATCAAACTACCAGAAAAGCCTCTTTTTATACGGGTTTAGCCCCTCCACTTTTTTTAGCATTAACTCTTAAATGGCAGCAAAAGGAAGGAAAATATATAATTGGTAGCATCCATTTCTTTGTACGCGCCTGGTCCTTCTTTGAAAAATTTCTTCGCCATTGACTGTTGTTGATTCGGGAAAGATAAAACCTTGTTCATTGTCTATAATAAATCGCAAGCTAAACTAAGCCGTAGTGTGTTTATCGAAACTGGGCTATTTAGAAGCCATTTGGTAAGACCCTCAAATCGACTGGATCCCTTGCCAAGCCTTAACGGGAGTACCCCCTGGGAGTTTGAATACAAGATACCTCACAGGTATGTTTGTCTTTATGTAAAGATGTCTTTCGAAGTAATCTTTTGAAACAGATTATAAATCAAATGTTAAAAGAAGTACGCAGGCCTGGGCTGGGCAGGATTTAGAGCAAATGAGGTCTTTTGCTAGAAAAGCTATGAGCTAGGTCCAGCCTACATACACTTGAATTTCAGTCAGAAAGTTTAGAGGCAGTTAAAACATTACATGATTCGTGATAAATCGTCATCTGCAAAGTAAGCAAATTTTTAAAAATATCAGGAGTCAGATTCGCAGAATACTTTTTAGGACTTTAAGGAAGAATGTACAAACTGTAGATCTGTGCATTTCACCAAAGTAGAAAACTGTTTAAAGAAAACTTGATTTTTTTAGATGAGATAAACAAATTTGTGTTTCAAAAAGGAAATCAAAAACTAGAAGGTTCTGGGGCAAAACTAGAAGACGCAAAAGTGAGCAGAAAATTTTTGCGACCACGCCCTTTAGATTAGCTTCAAATACATTTTCAGAATATTTCTTGCAGTCATTTTCTTCCAATCGTTTAAAATATTTTGCTTTCTTTTAGGCAGATAATTTTGCCATGTTCAATCAGATCCATTTCTGAACAGGAATAGCTTACTTTATCAGGGTAAAATTATAAATATCATCTCGATGTTTGACGTTCAAAGCAAACATCCCAAGAACATTTTCAATTTAACCGTCTGGTATCTCAACAACAATCTTCTTATTGGCAAAAACGTGATCAAAATTTGCTTTTTTAGATATACCTGGCGTCTTAATTCTCTCTAAAACATTCTTGCTACTCCTTTAAAGTCATTAATGACTCTTCCCTCTTTGCTTATTTGCCTGGTTCAATAGTTGATTTGCCGGGTATAGTATCTGTTCAAAAGCAATGAAAAGTTACTTAAAATGTAAATACTTGAAAATAAAATAAAAGTTATGACATGCAACGCCAACTTTTGATAATCTATTGTAGCAGGAAAACGAGGTGAAAAATCGAAAGGAGACTAGAAAGAGGTTTGATAAATGAAAAAGTGGAAATTCAATCAAGAAGGACAACGAAACACTCGAATAACACCACACAATCAGGGCATTTTTTAAGATATAAAGTGGTGGGGAAATTCCCCACCAGCCCCTTTCATTGCCCCACCAGTGGAATATGTTTGCCCCACCACTTAAGTGCCCCTATGATTCGGTGAATTTTTTACTTGTTACTTTATTTGAGATATTTGTGGTTGAAATCTTCATTGAAATCTTCACAGGTATCAAATCTCAATTCATTTTTCCCTGGTATTGCTGCTTCTATAGGCGATTCTCCTAGAATATTTTTGAAAGCCTGTTTATCTGTAAATTTTGCCTTTATCTATATGCCCTTTTCTCAAATGTCCCACCAGTGGAAAATTCTTAAACAATGCCCTGCACACAATTAAGCACTCGATTAGCTGTCTCCCCTCCATAACATACAACTTTTGTGATTCACAAAAAAATTGAACCGTTTTATATGTTCTTGGTTGCTTGCAATTCAAAATTGAAAATTTCTTAGGGACATTGTCTTTAGTACTAACGTCTCGTTAATATTCTCTACCTTGTACACTTTTAAAATCAGAAGGGTAGCGTTTTCAAAACGAGGTTGATGACATTTGCGGTTTTTGGCGGCAAAGTTTGATCCGCTGTTTAGGCCGGTTAAAGGTAGTTCTTGTCAAAATGGATAATGTACCAGAGCTCAACAACGCATTACCAATGCCGGAAAAATACATACTTCACCCAGAAGTTTGTCTGCTGCCCTCAAGGTAAATTCCATTCAGTTATGTTGCGTTGAATATTGAGAATTTCGTACCGTTTCAATTGTAAATATACCTCCATATTCAGAGAGAGTGCAAATGGTTTTATTCGAATCATATTTTCTGTAAACACAAGCATACTCAAACCTTGTATTGTATTATCAATAATCATTTATTCAAAAAGAACAACTTCTTATTTGTGTTTACATTTATTTACGTTTTGTCGGGAGTCAAACAAAGGCTTCTTGTATTTAGACGTAGGAACTGGAAAAAGAACAAGATAAAGTTTGTCACTTATTCTTTTCCGATTAAAGAATCAGATATTTTATGTCAAGGCTAAGCCTTCCAAAAAATGAAACCGTACGTTGGCAAACCTTTCTTTAAAGGACATTTAATTATTGTTTTAATGTCATTTCATTCAAATTTGTTTTAGTTCAGCAATGTTCAGCAAAATAAGTGCACATGCTTATCAATTTCTCATGAGAAAGGAAACAATAATATCTGATACAGTTTTCACAGAATTTGATGATGAATTTCTTACACAAAATGCAAAATGCATATCAATAACAGACCTTGACTTATTTCAAAATGGATGCGGTATCAATCAGGTAAAGCCATTAATTATTCTGTCCCTTAATAGGTCAACCAAATTGAGTATAATCTTTTACATTTTCTTTGTGGACTTTTAATATGATATCAACTTGCAGTTTTATTCAAATCATATTAAGCAAATATTTTCAACAGACCATTCACCATTCAAATGCAAGTCAATGCTACATCATTAGACAAAACATAATTAAATTCAAGCATCTACACTGAATTAGATCCACATCTAATGAGCAATTTTTGAATAGCAAATTCAAAAACTTATAGATCCAAATAACAGATTGACTAGATAAATCTCGATTGTGTAAATCCATTTTTTTATTCTTATGCTAGTTCTATTAAGTGTGAATGATGAATTGATCCATGAAAGAAGATCAGCAACCTCATCCCTTTTGACAGGGTATTTGCAACACATCAGCTTTAACTTTTAGTATCAATAATGCACTGTAAGATAAGTAATCAATCGCAACTAATTTGTGTTATTATTTTCCTCTAAAGGTTATCACTATAAATAAATGTGAATTGAAAATACATGTTTACAAACTATATGATGAAGGGCCAGCTATGGAAGAAGTCGAGGATGAGGACATTTCTGCAGCAAACCACTGGGTTTTACCTGCAGGTAAATGGTATCTCATTTCAAACCAAGTGCAATTTGAATCATCTATATGTTATCCATATCACTCTGTGGTATCACTATGTTATTGAATTATTCTTATTGTAAGCAGGTATTGTAAAATAATTTGTCTTTCTTTTTGTATAATACTTCTGCTCATTCATTGTGTGATGTGTGTGTGTGGATTATAGACTTCAATACCTTTCTCTAAATATGTTGTTATATGAGAAATTGAAATATTTAGTTCAGCATATGAAACCTATTACTATTTCCCCTAGATGAATTACATGGTCTCTGGGACAGTCTTGTTTATGATGCAGACATTAAATTTCAGGTATTTATCATTTAACCTTTTCATTGTCAGTAGTTGTTCAAGATAAGGAACTAGTTAATTCATTTGTATTGTTGTAGCTATTTTAGTTCAAAATGAACTGTATTATTTTAACAGTTTTCCAAAAAAAATTATCAACATACTCAAGAAGGATTTTCCAAAATATTTACTGAAATGATTATTGTCAAAGCAAAAATGTTAGAGTCATTTATTTTACCTTTTAGTGAAAGCATGATTTTTTAATGATTGTATAATAATTGTATGATTGTATAATAATAAATAATTATAATCATATAATATTAAAAATCATATAAATAATATTTTTTGGCAGTGCTAAACACATTTTTTCATAGTTTAATTTTATATGTTTAACCTTAAAAAACATAGCATGAGACTCCAACCACAAAAAATGCATGCTATCTACTGCCCTTTTTTATTTCAAAATAGCATGGAAAAGCAAACAGTAACATACTAGAACGTCAAATTTTATCAGCCCTGGTACAAAAATTTATGGTGCAAAAAACCTATGTAGTTTACTTCCAAAATAGTATTTCATTCTTCTATTTTCAATGAATTTTGCTTTTTTGATTTTCAGCTACTAAACTATGCTTATACTACTTTACTGTTTTCAGACAGGTAAGAAAGAATTATAACAAAGTTACAGTAAGAATTTAACTGCAATTATGTGATTATTACTCTTTCTAATCATACACAAGGTTATGATTAGGGACTTTTTTGATAATCCTAGACTTACTTGTGCTTCAGGGTCTAGCTAGCCTTTTCTAGCTGTCAAGTAAGGTAGCTTCAAAGTATCTATGGTGTTTTGCTTGTTTCTGTATTGCTATTGCCCCAAATTGCAATTACTTTGCAACAAACATAAAAACATCAAAGTTTCTTTAAACAGGAGACTCCTAGCAATCATATAATATGAAAGATTGAAGTTCAAGTTGATGATCCATGTGCATATTTTCTTTGTAAAGCACATCTATATTAAATGCAACTTGTTCCATATGTGTTGATGTTTAACTAATTTACCTTAATATGAGTGTCTCTTATTAATCTATTTTTGCCATATAATTTTAGGGGAATAGATAGTAATATAATCTCTTGGAATAGAGTGATTCTTCTTCATGGTGAGTTGGTATTTTTTTAAGATGTTTTCTCTTTATTGAAAGTTTTGCAAACCTGATGAGTAGAATTCTATTTAGAGACTTTTGCTCAATTTTTAGAAAGAATTAAAATTTCAAACTGATTTGATTCAAAAATAGAATGAATCAAGGCTTTGATTCTAAACAAACATGGCCCAAAATTATTGCATCTTAAACTGTTTAAACTAGACCTACCATTGCTATAAACTTTCAACTAGACCTACCTTTTGGAGAAGCAACACCAGGCAAACATGCTTCTCCTACCTACGGTACAAAACATGGAACTTTTTCCAATGTATGATGAAAAGGAAGATGGCATATATGTCTACTACTAGGAACTGGTTTGTAACTAAGAACAATGAACAAAATTCCTGCATCACCTTTTTTAGCTGTTGGATTTTTCTTGTTAAATCAGCACCTCTAAGGGGACCAGTATAGAAATAAGGTCAGCTTGATATTTTAATGTTATTGCCGCCATTGAATTTTTCAGGTGTTTAATTTATCTTTTTCTTAATTTATGTTATTGTGTTTTGATTTTTTATTCTTATCAACTTTAATAACTTGTTAATACAATTGATGTGGCGAATTATACTGCATACACACATACATACACATACACACAGACATTGCTGCAGGAGACTCCTGTCAGACGTCTCAACCATTTGTGAATTTTTGGTATACATGACGTAAATAATTTTTGCTTGTAAAAGTTGAGTACAAATCTATTTATGGCCAAGTATATTCCCCTATTCTAGATGGTAGGTTTCTACAAGAATTTAAGTCACCTTGGACTGAATTCTGAGTAATTAGAGTTTCTCTATTCTTTTGTCTTTCCTTGGCTATCAATCGGAACCTTCCTCACCTCCACCCACAGCTCTTTGCCATTCCCAGAAAACCACATTGAAAGACCTAGTGTCAAATAAGGGCAAGGAACTAAAAACAGGTTTTAAACATAGCAGCTCCTAAACGAGGCCAATAAAAACACAGGACATATACTGATAGTCTTATCAGGAAAAGTAAAGTTTATATCTTGTGGCAAACTTAATCTAGTTTTCGGAAAACCAAAAAGGCTGGCAAGTGATAAAAGAAAGCAGTACTGGGTCAAGCTCATACCAATCCGTATTTGTTATGAGCAGTTTTAAGTTTGCTCTGCTTTCAAAGTTTCATATACCCATTTTTATAACCCTTTTCATATCAGAGCTATGGAAATGCAAAGAACATCGGTTCAGGAGCGTCGCCAAAGGGGGGTACGGGGGTGCGGTACCCCCCCAACAATTTGTCCGTCGGCACATTAAGGATTTTTTTGCCGGGCAAAAGAAGCTATTTTTGTACTCACCCTGGAACCTTTTTGCAACAATTGTAAGGTATAAACTTTTCTGTCAGCAAATAAGAGTATTCATCTTTTGACCACACCCTTCAAAAGTGAGACACGCCCTTTTTGTCGGCAAAAAGCACTTCTTTACCCCTCCAAAAAAATTTTTGGCTTCGCCCTTGCATCGGTTGAATGTAAACAGTGCTTTTTAGAGCTTAGCATAGATATTTAAAGTGTACTTGGTATCAAGCGAGGAAAGTAAAACAATATTAAACCCATGCCCAAGGCTTTAACTAAAAGAAAAGAAACTAAAATGAAAATGTCGAGGTAATTTCTTTTAGAGGAGCCAGTTACTTGAAATACTTCAAATTCGAGCTCAAATGTTGCATTTATGCACATATCTGACTCTGAACCGTTTTATATTTAAAATTTCTAAAAATTTGTCATTACTTTTTGAATTTTTGATTTAAGAGCAATCTTAATAGTTTCCTCCCTTCCTCGAAAGGTAAGAATACCGTTACCCTTTGTGCCAGAGCCTCATGAATCCGGGAATAGAGTGTTGATAGAGTGTCAAAAGTTTTTTCTGTGACTACCTAGTTCCTAACCATATTTCTGGGACTAAATAATAGAGACTCTGGTACCCTGGATAGAATGCTGTTCTTTGCAGCATCGTTAATCGTCCTCGCCGTTCTGTTCGGACTCATACCTTTGCGTCCTTCACCAAATGCCCTGACCTTAGAGAATGAGAATTCGTTTTCAATCTATATAGACATAAAACAACACAAACATAAGCGAAAAGAGTACTCAGACACCTATCTTACTACGTTTTCTTCTAGGGCCTCCTGGTACTGGGAAAACGTCGCTCTGCAAAGCCCTGGCTCAAAAACTCACTATACGCTTATCTGATAGGTGACGACATTTTATTCTCTCCCTAAACGATGCATATTGCAATTAGACTTAGTATTCGAGGATTTGACTTGTAATTATGTTCAGATTTCTAGTGTTTAGAGCATAAGTTTCTATAATTATTAACTACAAAGCTCACAGAAAAGGCACAAATCAAAGAATCTCTTTAAGCGAGTCCAGAAGTCATATGCATCTTGTTTAGATCTATTCCGATAAATCTTTCTTTGAATATGCTTATTTATCGTCATCTTTGTAATATATTTGCAAGTTTATTTAAATCTCTACCTTGAAAAATTTGAAATTGATGTAGCTTGCATTCTCAAGAACCCTTATTAGCTACACTTTCCTGACAAAATTCCTAGGAAAATACCTAAGAAAAAATACGTTTGCAAATTTCTGAAAATATCTAAATGCTTTCACTGATTTTGGATGGAAAGGTAGGCAGATGATCTAGGATGAAATTCATGAAATATATATTATTGATTATTTTATAGAAAGACTGTAACGCATTCCATATCTTTGCTGATGAAGCTATTTTTGTCTCTTATAATTCTTTTTACTTCCTTCGTAGACAATACTCTATTTTCATTTTAACTTGTGGTTATTTTGCGATCTTTAGGTTCACTCACGGGCAGCTGGTGGAAATAAATAGTCATAGCTTATTCTCCAAATGGTTTTCGGAAGTAAGTCTGTTCTGAGCACAAATAAGATATTCGATTAATGATTTTAGAAACAGCAGAAAGTTCAAAATTGCTCACAACTTTTGTTTCTTTCGTTTTCTTGACTTTGCTGCACAACTTCGAAATTTTGCAGTATTAAAAGCTTATTTAACAAAAGCAGATAATTGAAAAAAGATTAGGAACTAATATTATGTCTGTGTAATTCTTATTGATTTCAGAGAATCGATACACCCATAGACGCACTAAGGAGCGTGATTTAGATGTTACTTATGAGTTGAAAAACGTATTGTCTCTATTTCAAGAATTTTGTCTTTTTCTAATATTATTTTTGAAGAAAGAGTGAGTCTATGCTTAAATTGAATTTTACAGAGTGGAAAACTGGTGTTGAAAATGTTTGCAAGGATACAAGAATTAATAGATGATAGTAATGCTTTAGTGTTAGTTCTGATTGACGAGGTATGAATTTCGATAATCTTTTAAATGCCATTTTCTAGTGTTACTGTAATACCTCTAAATACTTTCTAAAGCCTCCGCCAACGAAGCAAGATTTGCTGCAAAAATTTTTGGATAGACAATATTGCGTCGTTTTGCCATGTGTCTTTATTTGCCTATTTGTACCGAAAACTTGTCAATGCCTTCTACCTCTATGAGACTTGACAAATATTCTCACTTGTTTATATGCTTGGTTCTCTTCCCTCGTACATCTATATGTATAGTTCTTCCCCTGCCGAATGTCAAAGAAACTGAAAACACAAAAACGTTGATGTTGGATGGGAACCCAACTCGTTTTCAAATAAGCGAACAAATCTTGTGAGTTGTTGCATTGATTGGCCACCAACCGAAATTTCATGTGCGATACCGCACTCCGAATATTGTACCCTTATTGGGCATAAGGTTAGCGTGTATTCAAATATTTTCTAAATCTTTTTACCTAGGTAGAGAGTTTAACTGCTGCACGTGCTTCGGCAATGAAAGGTTCTGAGCCATCAGATGCCATAAGGGTGGTGAATGCACTTCTTACACAACTTGATCAGATCAAGCGGTATAGTTGGCATTTTGTTTAACGTCCTGTTCTTTGAATTTTGGTAAAGCTCTCGTTACATGCAGTAGTGGCGCCACTGGGGAAACTTGGAGGACACGTAATCTAAATTCGACGAGAAAATGTTTGGGGGAGGGAAAATATTTTGGCAATCTAATTTTTGTGATATAAACCTATGATTTTAAACTGCCTTTGCGTAACCGAAAGTTTGTCACCGGATTTTGCTTTTGGTGAATTTGGCGTTCCATGTTGGTAAAGGGGCGTTTTCTGGCCGTGATAAGGGCGGGGTTCAACATCGTCATCATCATCATCATATCATCACGAAAACTCTATCAGCCCTTAGTTTTTAACCTAAACGAAAATGCTCATTATATTTGCATCTAATGGTAAAGAAAGCAACAAAAAAAGAAAAGAGACCAGAACAGTATGGATGTGCTGGTCTTCCTAGGGATCTTGCTTCGGGGATGATGCTAATTTTGTAGGAAATCCTTCAGTTTCCTTTTGGATGTAGTGATTGTGGGACAATTTTCGTTTTGTCCGCCCAGAGCCTAGTGGCTGGCGTTACATGCTATTTGAAATATAACGCTACAAAGAAACGATTCAGCTGTCTTCGGGGTAACACAAGAAGGTTGTTTACAACCTGTAAATTTGACTAAGTGATATGTAAACTGATAGCAAAGCGTTGATAATGCGGCACAATATAAAGTATGCAGGAACATGTCCTATCACGCATTCAAATGGAAAGTAGGATATATTTTACTCACGGCTACCTGACTTGTAGGCGCTACCTTAATTTTCCGGAAATTTGCTTTTCTAGAAAATATGATATTGGTATTTTGTCACTTCGATTTGTCGCGTTTTCTTTCGCTGACTCAATACATAGAGGTTCTATAGCAAAAAGAAACAGTGGCGATTTTAAGAACATGAATTTCTGCTGTCTACGGATCTGCCTGTCTCTTCAGAACCGATTTTATAACATATTCATTCCTCACCTGCACCTGTTATTCATTCCCCGCATAGTAACATCACCTACATTCCTAACCCGCTTCAATCATAGTATTTTGTTGTAGCTTACAGTGGCCGGCCCCTTCTTAAAAAACTCCTCAAGACGTTGCGCATTAACGGAACATTGTTTAAAACTTTCCTTCAAACAAACACTTTCCCATGAAACTGTTGTCTAATAATTCTGTCAATTACTACTCAAGTATTTCATCTATAGATGCCCCAATGTTATTATTCTGACAACTTCGAATATTCACAGAGCATCGATCTTGCTTTTGTTGATAGTAAGCAAAGTGTCTCACTTTTTAACTAGGCACGATCATCAACATCTTATACAACCATGGAGCATATTTGTTGGACACCTGCACACTAGTTCCTAAACGGTACCTCGAAATACCATTTCCTCTAAGTTAGTTCCCATGTAGGGAGTTTTCTACAAACAGTAATATAGTGCTGCATATGGAAGTTTTTTAGATTCGTTATAAACCCTCTTAAGCAACATTCTGTCTTTTTTCATACATCTAAAATTGAATCAGAACTGATTCTTCAGGCAGACTTAACCAGTATATTGGGCCACCATCCAGTGAATGCTCATTTACACGATTCTACCTTTCTTGCAATTCGTAACTGGACGAGGTTCTTTTTTCATTTGGACACTTAATTGCTGTATTATATTGCATTAAATCTTATAGTAATTCTTCAAAAAAAAGTAGGACAATAAGCTACTCAATCAAGAAGGAAGCTG